CACAACTTCAAGTTGTATGTATCTGTAAAAATGATAAATATACAATAATGCATTCGTCATCAACGTTCATAAGGCACTAATGAAATGTTTTCATATCATATTTCGTTGTCTCTATATATCCAGTTTGAAATTAAAAATTCATTAATAACTGTCGCCATATTAATGATTGATTATAATATGTCATTATGTTAATGATTCATTATAATATATCACTATATTAATGATTCATTATAATACATTATTATATTAATGATTTGTTTTCAATTTAGTTTATTTTCTATCTATCAATTTGAATTCTAAATAATTTGTTTTTAAAATATTAATTGTTATAATAGCTAAAAGAAAACATATCAAATTTCATATTCTGTGATGAGAAATATATTTATGATAAGTGCGCATATACATGATATATTGCAAAAGAGTAAATAAAATTTTAAGATTGTTGCAAAAGATTAAATGCAGAGTAAGATGCTTTCAAAAGCTGTAAAATAAAATTTGAAAAATTTTAGCGGAAATTAAATTTTCTTATATTATTAAATATTTAAAATACTTGAAATTTTAATACTAACACTGCCGTAAGACTCCAAAGATAATGTCACCAAGAAGCTACTGGTAAACTTGATAGGACGTGTACTACGTTTCATAATCATCAATAGATCTTTTTGCTTATTAATTGGCATCAATATCCAATCCATTTCATATACAGCTTCACTCAATTCAGTACTCTGAAAAAATAAAAACACAATTAGAATAATGAGATCATCAGGTGAACATTTTTGGTAAAATGCTCGTAAAATACAAATTGCGCATCAATGCTATTCTTTGCTTTTTTATGCATCCTCACGACTACCTTAAGTATAACTTCGTTTCCAGCCCAACAGTAAACAAAAATTTGGACAAACATGCAAAGTACATAGATAATCAAGCTGATGATGTCTATAATTGTCACATGAGAAGATAAATGATACAGACTTGTGCACAATACCAATATGCTGGCGAAAAATTGGACAAATATCACTTGGCTGAATACCTTATTGATAATTTTGGCAAGTCTATAAATATTTTTATATTATGTTGCAATTTATATAATTAATATACATAAATTTATATAATTAATATATATAAAATTAAAAAGATACCACAATTAATATTATGAAAAAATCGAACATTTTATTTAATATATTTAGCACAGAAAAATACGTACGTAAAATAACTTTATCATCTGCTTGACGAACCTGATTATACATAGATGATGTAAAATATGTTCCGAAAATCTGTCTGTTCCATTTGATGCATCATTCAGCGAAATGAGAGTTTCCTCTTTCTTACTGGACTTCATCATTTTTTGCAGGCGATGTTTTAAAATCTCAATTTGTGCGCATATTTGTAAGCAAAATCCCAATACTGTAGTCTCCGTCGCAACATTTACAATTGTGCCAAAAATTGTAGCTACCAACTCTTGAATTGATGTAAGCCAAAATAAAAAGGGCGAGGTATAATCGTATGGTACCCACATCCTAAAGGGTAATTGACCCTCTAAAGTATTTAGCAAACCTCCTATTATGCCACCAGTGACAGAAAATGATGCCAGAGATGTGTACTTTATGGAATATGATCTGCATACATTTTGTGAAAACATATAATAATCAACGTATAAAAGCAGTGTATAACAGCAATGTGTTGTGTGTGTGTTTTGAAATTATATAAATTAACGATATTGCTCAGTAAATATAAAGAAAAATATAATCTTTGATTATCATTGCACACAGTACTTCAGATAACTAACACAAATCCATGAGTAAAACATTTAGATTTTTATAATAATTTGATAGTACACACTCTAACTTTTTGAATAACTTAAGAAAATTAATTTAAAATTTCGCATATATCTATTAAATTAAATCTCTTTAATTCAATTTACTTATTTGGTTCATTATTTTATTTAATTGGTTGATAAGATATTTATTCGTATCTATCAATTTACATGTCACCAAGATTGTGACCTCATCATTAGTTAAATATACCCACCTGATCATACAATCGAATTTCAACTGAATGTCGCTCTCCTCTTCATTGTAAGCTTTGCAAGGTTTTTTTTGTAGAGTTTCGATCAAATTGATAAGTTCATCTCGACGTGTTATAACAGCAATTGCTTTAAATAATACACAAACAATCGAAAGAAACATTAAAGAATTCTTGGCGAAATCGTCCACGTTATCGATAACAAGGATAATATTCAGCAATTGAGTCAGCATTAGAATTACTAATAGACACATCGTGAAGCAAGTGAGCATACTATACAGCATTTTAGAACATTTCGAAGACCATTCGATTGGTCGCCACATACCACTAATGGTATACAAAAATAAATTAAGAGAGAGTGTCTGCATTTTGCCTACATTTGCTGCAATATTAGCAACAACTATAATAAAAGCCATAAATTTCCTTCATTTGCTAAAAAATACAATTTTAAAATATTTAACTCTATTAAGATGTATTAAGATGATATTTATCATTTTTACAGATACAAATTGAAGTTGTGTAATTTAATTTTTTTTGCTGTAAATATAAACCACACGATATTTGCAAATATGTTGTTGAACTAATGCTTGAAATTTTACTGCAGAATAAAAATATATAGGTAAAACATAGATTTATAAAAATATTTTTAAAGAATGATCTAAAAAAATTTGATAAAAATATTAATTATTTTTTGAATGCATACGTGATCAAGATTCGTAAGGTACTAGTTCAGTGTTTTCGTATTATATTTCGTTGTCTCTATATCCAGCTTAAAATTAATTATTCATTAATAATTGCCGCCGTATTATTGATTCGTTAATAGCTGTCGTGTACTTTATCACTGGTAAGATATCGACGACTTAATTATAAGGTATTATAGTTTGTGATACATTTGAGGGATGTTATATTTGCTTTGCAGTGAATTCTAACATATTGTCGCGTTCTAAGGAAACGAAATATACTTGTATTTAAATGCATTGCATAATTCTAAATAATAGCAACACGAGTCCTCAATTGGATCAATAAATGCAATATTTGTTGCAATATTTTTAAAAGTACTTCTTTATGCAGCAGAAATATCTAGATACTGGATATAGTATGACATATAATGTAGAGCGAAATTAAACTTTCATCTAATTTGATAACTATATTTTGAAATATTTAATATAATATGATTTTGTAATAACATTTTATAAAAAATATGAGAACATGAGATGATGATATCAAGAATCACAATTCTTTTATAGAGGAGGTGCCAATCGATTTTCAATGACGTTTGTTTCAAAAATTTACATTATTCTGTTGTTAATTACGGCTTTAAATCGCGATGTTTGTAATGACAGCTCTCTCGTTTTAACTATAGTCATATGTTTCCGTAAGATTTATATCCGCTTTCTGAAAATTTATTTATTCCAGATTAATTTTCTGAAAATTTATTTATTCCAGATTAATGAACGAGACGTATGCAAGAGGTTCCCTGCGCGTTTATTTCATCCAAATTCCATCATTGAACTTTAACTTATACACGTTCCCGTTCTGTATGATCCGTTATGAAAGAGATCGCCTTCGGAGGAGATGATTTTTTTTTTCTCGTTTCAAGGTAAATCGTCGACCGTGAGCGAAATCTACCTTGGAAAACGCACCAAGTTCTCGGACTTCCTCTCCGTCTCCGCGCCGTCCTCTCAATCTCTGTCCCCCACCTCTCTCATTTCACTCGCTACATCACATTCGCGCGCCTCGGTGACACACTTCTGGCTGAACTTTTTTTTTTCGACGTGTTTCACCTTCCTTCCACGGGTTCAACGATCCATCCGAAACCGTGATCCGTGCCTCGGTCATGAATAGGGAGAGAAGAGGGGTCGGGCACCGCTAGTAGGACACCGTCCTCAATAACTCGTCGAAAGTACGTGGTGATGGTGGTGGTGAACATCGGTGATCTTACGAATGTTCTATCGACCTGTATATCATAGCTGTATTGGTGTCTCAGATGGACGCGGGCAGGCTCATTATATTCGAAAATATATAGCGTCCGGAGCTGACGCGAATGCCTCCCCGTTCTCCTCCCCGTGGCAGCGGGGGCGGAGGATGGGTCCGTGCGCCAAACATCAAGAACGAAAACCTCTTCACCTCAATTAACACCGGTAGCGCTGGTGAACGATAGTAGAGTGTGCGGTAACGGTAATAGTAGTAGTGATTCGTAACTGGTAGCCGCGCACGCGAGTTGATATATACATATGTACTTGTCCTCTTTAATATGTAAAGTGACGCTAGTCTTAATAAAGACAACTTTATCAGTAAATAATTCGCTTTATATCACTTATATTATACAAAACAATAATTTATAATTAAAATATCATCTAATATATATATATATATATATATATATATATATATATATATGTCTGGGAAGAAATTTCTTCATTATTTGTATAAACAAATATAGCAATCTAATACAACAATTAATCTAATATAACATCGATTTAAAATAAATATTAGTAGTGCAATTAAGCGATGTTGTTATGGGTCGCTGCTCCGCTAAATTTAGACGTCTATTTATTAACGTTATATTAAAAGAATCATTTTTTATAGACCCGTCTGTAATTGTCGAAAATTTCCCTTTTTACGGATTTCGAGCGTTTCGGGCTTTATCTCGTCGCATCACGGTACAAAACTTCCTGTGTTACGTTTACGCAAAAGATCTCCAGAGATATCGCGCTTATTAATGTGTGTGCGTGTGCATGTATGCTAAATGCGTGCATGAAATATAACAATTCGCGGCGATACGCCCGACGGGCTGCTCATTGTGCGCTCGTTGACGTTGTGGTAGAATGCCGAGATGAGACGGGTAAACGGGCTGTCTCCTAGCTAGCTGGTACACATTGTGCCAGTGGTTGGTCTACAACAGAGAGAGAGCAGACAGCGGTGCAGATACCGGTGACGGAGGAAGTGGGCTTCATTAGTAGCGGTGGTGGCGTCGGCGGTGGTGGTGGTGGTTTGCTGGTGCTGGTCTACCGGTATACTGGTGGTGGTATAGTGAGTGCACGGCATATTTCGCTTCTCTTTGTAAGAGTTCTCAGTATCTCGCTGCTACTCTCACGCAGGCGAGAGAGGCGGCTAACACCTTCCTCCTACGTTCGGACGTCAACTGTCAACCGTCCGCGCGCGGACCTCATTCTCGTTCACTGTCGGCGCGTTCCTCTTCTTTCGTGATTTCCTTCTTTCTTCTTTTTTTTCTTTCCATCTCTTTATTTTTTATCCCCTCGACTTCCGCCAAATGCCGTCTATCTTGTTCGCTAACGTGATCGCGTACGACGAAAAGTGCGTGTCCTCGTCATCAGCGCCAACCACCACGTAAACGGCCAGGAGAGAAAAAAGAAGATCATCGCGAGAAGCTCGTTGTGCGAATTCATTTTCACTGCCCTGTGTCGCTCTCACGGATAAATTTCTGCGTGCGCGAACACAGAAGAGAAGATCGTTCCTTGCGTCCAAAAGATTACTTCAAAGCTAGTGCGATCGTGTTCAGCGACTTTTACAAACGTTTATCACTACTAAACTATCAGGTAATGCAAATTTTTCTAGTAAAATTTTAAGATCAAAATTTATACATTTAAAAGAAAATATTTGTTAATATTTTGAATTGCATGCAACAAACTGCAAAATATCAATTTAAGCTTTAAAACATATAATATAATAGTATCTCCATTTTTTTATAGTGAATTTTTTTTTTTCGATGAAAATAATACATTATTTAATTTTTGAATGATGTAATGTAAACAAGAGCATTTTCTTCTTGTATTTATTTTTCTATATAATTCTTACTTATTTGCATGAGTATATTCTAATATTATATATATATTTTTTTTTATTATTTATATTCATTCATATTCTATTAAATTAGAAAGCAAATGAAAGATGATTATTCTTAATTGCACCTCTTACATGTCTATTTTATTACAAATTACTTACAAATTTATATTACATTTACAATACTTGCAGAATGTATCGCGTGCTACTTTTTCTCATCTCAATCTATGGAACCATTAATGGAATGCAATTACCTAGTAAAGGAGATTTACCTCGTCAATATCATCCGCGTTTCTTAATGTACGAGGAACCATATAACATTGAATTCAAGTATCACAATTATGAGCAGATGAGCCGCTTTCTTCGCGCGACATCCCTTCGATTTCAAAATCTCACCGCTCTGTACTCGATAGGAAAGTCGGTGAAAGGTACGAATTCTCTTATATGCATAAAAGAATGCGGTGTGAATACATCGTTCAGAGATAAAACACTTATATCGCATCGATTTTTTGATAAAAAGAGAACAGCACATCCTGGAAAAAATATTTTAAAATTTAAATATCTCAAAACTTATAAATATTTCATGTACAATTTTATATTTAAAGTTAAAAAAAAGAATAAAGAATATTTTTATCTCAAGCGACATACTCTCTCGTGCCAGGTCGTGATCTATGGGTAATGGTCGTGTCGTCATCACCTTACGAGCACATGATCGGGAAGCCCGATGTAAAGTATATCGCTAACATACACGGAAACGAAGCTGTGGGACGCGAGTTAATGCTACATCTCATTCATGTATGTAATTAAGAGGCGTTGGAATTTCCATATCACGTTACTTGCAATGACGTGATACGAATTACTTGCAAACACGTGTATATGCAGCACGTATATTTTTCCACCAGATCATTGTGTACAATATTCTGTAAAGATAATAGAGATTTATATATACTCGAATAAAATTTTATCTAATATTGTGCGCAGGATAATTGTACTCTAACAATACGATATAATAATGCATTAATAAAAAGCTAACAATTTTTGAACATTTATAATATAATATATAATAATAATATTAGTTACCTTAAAATTAATAATAATATTGACAATATTAATAATCTATTTTTATTCGACAAACAAATGACACAAATATTTTTTTGGATATAATTCTATTCTCTCTTTTCTTCCTTTTAGTCCCTCGTAACATCGTATGGATCAGATGCATATATTACGTGGTTATTGGATAATACAAGGATTCATATTCTGCCGTCAATGAATCCTGATGGCTTTGAAGTTTCTAAAGAAGGACGCTGCGACGGTGGTCAAGGCAGGTTAGATATTTGCATCGTTTTTTAATCTGTTTTCAATTTGAATTGATGTGAAACTTAAGTAATCAATCAAAAAAATATTCGTATATATTATATAATATTATATATATATATATATATATATATATATATATATTAAAAAATTATAACAAATAATATTTTTCTTATAGATATATAAAGATGAATTATGTTTTTCATAAATTATATGTATGCGTGAGTGAGTACATTTGTGTGACTATGACTCTTCTTCAACGATTCCTCTGCAAAAGTTTTTAAATTTGCATAAAAATTCTCCGCTTAATGTTTCGAAACTTAAAATAACTTTAAAATAGCTACCTTATATTCAGAACTCGTCGACATATCGAGCGGTTTCGTTTCCGTTGAAGACGATTCATTTGTGACGCGATGAGAAAGATAAAAAATATTTCTCTTGTAATCTACAATTTGATAGGTATAACGCGCGTGGCTTCGATTTAAATCGCAACTTCCCGGACTACTTTAAACAGAACAACAAAAAGAGTCAGCCGGAGACCGAAGCTGTCAAGGAATGGGTCTCGAAGATTCAGTTCGTGCTGTCGGGCAGTTTACACGGCGGTGCTCTCGTAGCCAGTTACCCCTTCGACAATACCCCAAATTCGCGTAAGTTGAAAATTTCTTGTCGATCTTTGTGCGATCATTATGTACGCCGAGCTAAGTTAAAATGATCGGGTGGCGCGATCGTCCACAGCCACAAAATTATCGTATTTATTCTCTTTGCGAAATAATTTTGAAAAAAAAAAAATAAGGCGTTACTATTTTTTACGAGTGGCTTCCAGCAACGCATTTCGATTCCGAATTCCGTTAACGTTCCGTTTATGTAAGATTACAGACAGCTATGACTATAACTGCGCGTAGCTCTGAAGCTGTCATGATATTATGTAAACTTTCATGCCGTCAGGAATATGTCGATCAGCGCCACTATGTGCAGGTATTGTGCAATATATGATTACTTAATTGTTAATTGCGTTCAATGATCAACGACATTATCATCTACTTCCGGAAAAAATATAATTATTCTTTCTTATCTTATAAAATCTTTGATATCTTTCGATAAAGCATTGGCTCACAGCTATGATTCATCACAGCTATGAAAAAAGTAAATGATAAAGTCTACGATTTCATGCTGGAATTTGTAGAAGAATAATAGAAAATAGAAAGAATAGAAACTGTAGAAAAAATAGAATAGAAGAAATTAAGTTTCCACTAGCTCGCGATAAACTATACGCCAAATATGTGAAAATGAAACATAATGAAAATGGATGTTCTGATTATACGCTTCTGGCATAAAATGCATGTTCTTGTACGGCCTGACTCTAGCAAGAAAAAAAGGATGGAACGAGATGGTTAATTTACAGCGATAAAAAGAAGATGATCGTGTAAGAATAAAGCTATTCGCGCTTCGAGACGCTAGTCTCATGTCAAAAAAAAGATAATTTTGAAAATTTAAACGAAAGGTAGAATGAATATCCCAAGTTTCAAAAAACAGTCTGTAAATTACACGAATCATCTTCGGGATGTCAGAGATGGATGATGGCTCTATCATTTATGCAAAACAGTAACAGTCTCACGTAAAGAGAACAGTGTTTCAGAGTTTCACGGCGACGCCAAGTATCTCGCCGGACGACGATGTGTTTCAACATTTATCGTTGACGTACTCTCGAAACCACGGATCTATGTATCAAGGATTACCGTGCTCGCCATCCCAGCCCGCATTTAAACGCGGAATTACTAACGGCGCCGAGTGGTACCCGCTTACCGGTGGAATGCAAGACTTTAACTATGTATGGAACGGATGTATGGAAATTACCTTGGAACTTTCTTGCTGCAAATATCCGCCGGCCTCGGATTTGCCACATTATTGGGAGGAAAATCGAGCGGTGAGTCTCGCGAAATACATTTAAAAAAACTTTGCAAGAGATTTCACATATCCTCCTATAAAAATTTTGTAAGATATAAATCTCTTTTTTAAGATTTTACATTTAATTAGAAAAACAAAATTTACCTCAATTTATCATTCTGTTGTAAATCTGCTCAAGTCAAGTCTGTTATTACAAATAATGCTTCAGATGATGACTCAATGATTTTTTAATTACGTCACCGATGTAACAAGATAAAGGAATAATTTGGTTGAGATCCGTGAAATTTATCAGTGCGTATAATGTTCTCCGTTGTTTTTTTAGTCTTTAATCAAGTTCTTGGCAGAAGTTCATAGAGGTGTTCATGGTTTCGTTGTCGATGAAAATGGTAATCCCATTGAGAGAGCGACGGTTAAAGTAAAATCACGAGACGTCAGCTTTTCGACAACCAAGTATGGCGAATTTTGGAGAATCCTATTACCTGGCGTTTACAAATTAGAGGTACGTTGCAGAATATAATCCTTCAAATGTAGCGATTATCTTATCACTCTACTAATAAAATTAATAATAAAATTAGAAATTCGTTAAAAGTGTTACTTATTACATCATTTTAAATGGTATATTTACTTTTTGTACATCAGGTATTCTCAAACGGATATATACCTCGTGAGATTGAATTTGTAGTAATCGAGCAGCATCCGACGCTCCTCAATGTTACGCTTTATTCAGTAAAGGTAAGCAATGTCAAATAGCACACAAATACAAATAAGAACGATATATTTGCGCATTTTTTTCTTAACATATATCCGAAACTGTTTTTTATACTCAGGAGCTTTAAAATTTATTTTAAAATTTATTTTATCATAAAAGATTAATTATGGAGTCTACCATCAATCAATGACATATATTCCTCAATCGCTTTTATATTTTATAAAATACATTAAAATTCTTTATATATTCGAAACAGAGACAGTACAATGATGAAAATGGATCTATTTTATATACCGGAAATACTGGCGGAAGGCCTTATCCTCATCGAGAACATACGCTGCCCTTTCGACCACAATCGGGAGTTAATACCGCAGCCGATGTCAACAGCGGTATCTTCTCATCTATCAGTAACGGATTTAACACTTTTGTGACTAACCTTTTCGGATAATCTCATGAAATATGTTGCACGCGAAAAAAGATAAATATATTTAATTATTTATTTCTTATATATATATATATATATATATATATATATATATAGAATAAATATATATATAGAATAAATATATATATATGTTATATTTATATATATATATATCTATATATATATATATATATATATATATAAATATAACATATATATATATTTATTTATATATATATATATATATATATATATATTATTGTGTGTATAAAATAAGATAAAATTTAATCTATTTGTGACTTCGAGGAAGCTGGGGCAAAATGCGAACAGATTCATAATCCGATTAATCGGCAAAATACTGCCAAATATAGCGCAAATTATCACACGTTTAAGTCTGAAATAAACTCTACATCTTATGAACTTCAGTTATGAACACTCAAACATGTAGTGAAAAAAAAGCGTTCTTTCTATTGTATTTATAGACAGAAACATGTATATTTTTACTTTATACAATCAACAGTATCTAATATAAAAAATATAGTTGGCTTGGTATCGATATCCCTGAACAGTATAGGAAAAGCAATATAATTACTAATTAATTCTCCAATTTAGATAAAATTAGGATAAAATCGTTGTTTATTATTAGTTGTTATCTCTCCTGTTTATAGTAATGATGCTGAAATACAACTGTTAAATAAAAAAAAAGAGATAACAAGAGTATATATTATTCCTTAAATTGTGTAATGGTCCGCACAATAACCGCAATCCACATTGCTGCGGCATATGCACCAGCATCCACTTCCGTCAAGTACCGAGCTTGTTTTACGTAACTAGCTCGTCCTGCTCTATAATGCATCAAATCCATATTAAATTTAAAATTAAAAAGTATAATTTTAATCCTCTTGCAATTATTGATTTCTCTAATTTCTAACGCATATAGACTAGTTTTTTATCTAAACATTTGAGCGTTGAGTTTAAATATTGAACGTATCAACATTAATCTATCGATATTTTTATACTCACTTGGGTTTCATATCTTTCGTAGAATCGCATCCTTTCCATGCCGCTGCAGCTAATCTATCGTAAAAATCGTTCGGATGTTCTTTCAACATTCTCTCGTACATCGCATACACTGCATCCATCGTATCGATCTAAATATATCGATTAATAAAAATCTTATAATTCTAGTATATCTTTCTAAATATTGAATTTTTGTATTATAATTAATTATTGCATTATAATTTCTATCGTAACAAAACTGCTAGCACACAATTCCATTAATAATAATACATATATCTTAATGATATGTATAGATATAAACCATAGTCCTATCTCCAGCTTTTGCTTTTCCATATTTTTCTAGACAATTTAATCCGCTGCGGAATGCGCAGAACCAAACGTCTCGCAAATTCTCGCCTTGCTTCGATAAAGCCAACTCCTTTGCACCAGTCGTAAAGAATAAACAATACAAAGCTCCAGATGTTCCGCCCATATGTTCCTCCGCTATATTCGCTATTTCCGATAACAATGCTGCTGGATGCGACAAAGATAAGTTGTCTAAATTATCCAATATACCTGTAAATATACAGAATTATAGTAAATTTCCTCAACAGATTTGTATAATAGAAGCAATATATCATTTATGTAATAAAATCAATATATATTATTTCGATATATCAAACATCAATACATATGTATATATTCTAAATTTTGAATAAATAAATCATAAGAGAAACATAGTATATATCTTTGGTATCACATACCTTCGGCAAATCTTTTCAGAGTCGAACCGCAATCTCCATCTCCGCAACCGCGGTCCAGCTCATTCAGATACATCTCTTGCTCGATTACAGCCGCACACGCGTTTTCCAAACACAATTTGATCAAACGTTGCTCGCATACGTTTAAAGATATTCCTATTTTCTCTGTTTTCTTCTTCTCCACGTCTTTAAACGAGGTGCAAGTGACAGTCGAAGGTATGCTATAGCTGCAACCCGGCCAGCAAGGTGCCATCGTTTTTTCATCAAGACATTTGATGAATACAGCTCCGTGGCTTTCAGTTAACTTGAGCAAACTCACATGTATACCGGCGCTATTCAAAGATGTCATTAAAACGCCAGAATAAACGCGAACAGGCTCTATATTCATATTTCCTATGAATTAAGAGAGAGAGAAAGAGAGATTATTTTTATAAATATTGTTGCGCCCGCGGCGCCCGGGACGTAACAATATAATAAAAGAAATTATCAGAATAAAGTTAAATAAAAATTAAAATTAAAAACAATAAAAAATGTTATAATTATATGATGAAGATTATTCTCATAAGAATAAAAGTAAACGTTTCATGAAGATCAAAGATTCGAAATTTAGCAGTTTGTCAAAGAATATAATTAATATAATTAATCCGTTAAGCTTTAAATGGACCGTAGTTACACAAGAAAATTAAGATAACGTTACTCACGAAGCTGAATTACAATCTCATGAACGATGATCCCTTGCTCCAATTGACTCAAAGCACCGAAATTGTTAACTATTACCGCGACCGAGTCATTAGCGGCCAAAGATAAGGCCTCGCAAATGCGTTTCAGCATTAGCGTCACCAGCACGGATACGGTCCCGAGCTTGATTCTTTCGTATCCCGCCTCCCCGTGTACACCCATTCCGCACTCTATCTCGTCCTGTGCAAGCTCGAACATGAGACCTTGACCTGCATTCAATTTTCTCTCGGTAACGTACAGAGTGATTCTAAAATAAGCTGTCGGATATCGTAGGTGGACATTCTTTCATTGGTGTAAAATTAATTTCTCTTTTCTAATAAAATATCAATAATGGACTTTCCAAGCTGTCAGCGACTCCTTCTATAAGATTACTTATATCTCTTAGAGATATTTAGATATCGGTGAACATATCAGTGATGCTTAAGCAACGATGCGGGAATAAACATTCGAAAGTTGACCGCGTAATATTGACCTAAATAAGGATACGCACATGTGTGGGTATCTTGCCTCGAATGTAACGGTAACTTACGATTGTCTCCAATTGTCGCGTTACCTGGTAAAGCGCAAGCGGATAGCCCGACTCCGTAGGTCGCTGTGTTTTGCGAAACGCTCCGTGCAATTTCCGCTACCTCAGGTAGAGAAAGCCCCCTTTCGGCGAAAGCGCCCGCAATTTTGATAATGAATAACATGCCCACCAGCCCGCGTTTACCAGCCACGCTCTGCTCGTTTGCGGGAATGCTGCAGTCATCGCCGACGATTATTTCCTCCACCTAAACTTTTTGAAATATTATCATGTTAATATTTTCATTCTTTTTTTTCTCTTATACATTTGAGTTATTTATACATAGGAAACAGAACTAAAATATTGTCACCTTGATGCCCGCTTGTTGGGCCTTCTTGATTGCTATGCCGAAATTCAGACAGTCGCCCGTATAATTAGGCACCACTACCAGAATGCCAGCTGGAAAGAGAGATAATATGACGTTAATGAAAATGCTTTTATAACAATAAACCGCATACAAAAAGCGCATAAGAGATAGAACCTTTGTTATTTTCCGCAATACACTGAAGAGCGTGTGTGATATGTATAGACGGTGGTGCCGCAAAAATAGATCCTGCTACGGATGCTGTCAACATACCGCTTCCGACAAAGCCTAGAAATATTAAAAAAAAAAATACTGTTGTAAATAAAATTCAAAATCAATTATTAACGGGTCTTTATTACAAATCTAAGCGTCTTTTAAAACATTTTAATAATGTTTAAGTTGAAGAGAAATTAAAATGAAGTAGAGAGAAAGAGAATTGAAAGACTATTAATAACAATTTTAATTTTATCCCAAAAAGAATGCTTTATTCTATTTATTTTATTCTTATATTTTCATTTTATATTTTATATCTCATAATAAAGCAAAGGATTACGAAATATTCAACAATATGGGATAAAGCGATGCGGAAATTAATTACCTGCGGCAAATGGCTCGTGTCCGCTGCCGCCACCGCAAATCAACGCCACTTTATCTTTACGATCTCTGCACTAAAAGATAAATTGCATTTAAACGAGTGTATTACTTATAACCGAATAAACGAAAAATTTGAACTAATTCTAATGACACCGCATGAAAGAAAAAGCTGCGCTTTCGACCAAATACTTTAGATACGTCCCTGTTGTTATCGCAATCCGATATTGTAATCGAACACAATAGCACTAATTGAATGCAATTACGAAAGTGAAAGCGTATTTACGTACGTCCGGCGACAATACGACCCCGTGCGATGCGTGATACTCTAATTGCGGATACGCGTGAGATAATCCCGACAAAGTCTCCGACACGGCATCGTCTAACGAATTAATCAAGTTCTTGGACTTGGTTGTCATTTTCGACGCGATCAAACGGAATACTAATCGAACATGAGTCGAACATGAGCAAGATCTCAGCTTTAAGATCGCGCAGGTTATCGGAAACACTTTTCGAATGACGTATCTGTCGTTTGATAACAGAGATCTACGAGCCGGATGGTGCGACGGAACTGACATTTATACGTTTAATTCTTTACGCTCGTCCAACGAGTCGGAGCGAGCGATTTACGTAACTCTTATACATAGTCAAGCATTTTCTAGATAATTATATTAAACGTTGAAAAAAATACACGCGTACAAGTTAATTTGCAGTTAATCTTTTGCCAAGATAAGTTCATCTGGATATTATTTTTTTTTAATATTCTCTTACTCCCGATATGTTTTTTGAATGCGTTGATAATTAAATGTTATTTTAAAAGTCTGTTGAAGTCAAACTGAAAATAAAAAAGATTTATATTGTTATATATTGAGATTATTACATATCTTAGATTTTATTTATACATATTTTCTATTTATTGTCATTTTTTAAAGTCATTATTTTTTCTTATCTGTGGAAAGCAATACATTTATATACACACATACACACACACACGTGTGTGTGTGTGTGTGTGTGTGTGTGTGTGTGTATGCATGAATCGCTATCACGTGTGTATTCGATATAAAGGACAATATAATAAATAGAAAATATATATGATAAAAATAATATGAAAAAATATATGAAAAAATATATGAAAAAATATATATGATATATATGATAATTATGCGAGAGAAGGATACACTCTTTACGGGAAACGGGACAAGTTTTTTGAAAATAATTTTGAAGGATTATAATTGATTATAGTGTTTAAATACAGAATTATTGTCTCTTAATACCTTATTGCAATAATATTACTTTCTCTTGTGTCATTTCTGTCGAATAACGTTTCATAATTATTTCCTTTATATTCAATTCGTATTTTGTGAATCTTTTTCGCCGGTTCAAATGTGCAATGGCGATCACTTGTGCCGAAACGGTTCCGCTCTTTGAAGACTCACAGTGGCGACATCTTTCATCGATCGCACAAAGCTAGATACGCGTCATAACATTAAGGCCTGTTCTTATTTCAAGATGGTCTTAAGTTCCGTTTTCATGTATTATACGACCATCTCATTGGCTGGATAGAACTTAAAGATCACACCTTAAATATAACGAGGACGATCTATATTCTTTCTTTTTTTATGGTGAACACAATATGTTTGTCGCATGGTTTCGCGACTGTCATACAATCCTGCTTGCGGATCCCGGTTCGAGACGTCGTCGGAATCGTCGTCGTCGTTGGTTATCGATAAATATGAAGCGAATGAAAAGCGACGTGATCAGTGCGACGATTGAGTCTTACTTAAAACGACGTCATTATCAGGTGCCGAAAATGCTCTCGCATTTATAGTTTCTTTCCACGTGCGCGTAAATTGTTAACGGAACGTATTATAACCTTAGCAGGCCAACGACGTCTATTGCAAGGGCGATCAGTTGTTTTGTCAGAGCAGCGATCAAATGACATTAAACGCAACCGCCGAGTGCAGTACCTCGCAGGACAACTCAATCGTTTTCAGTGCCATCACCATTGACGTTACCGCGGCGGATCAAGCATATCAACGGTAAGATTTACTATAACGCTGCTAGAATCTTCAGGTTATATTCAGGTTTGCTATACAATATTTATAAGAAAAAAAAGCATCTCCTGTGTATTGTATCAATTTTATGATAGTTGTATAATTCTTATATAGTTTCTTGAAAAAAGTTAAATCCTATAAGTTCTTTGAAAAAAAATAAAAATGTTTAGTGTTATCAGCTCTGCTTACAATTACATTTTTATAAAAATCTATTCAACTCTTCTCTTATAAAAATAAAGATTTGAAAAGTAAAAATTATCACTATTACTTATATATATAAAATTATTAAGGCTGATATTTTTCAAAATTAGGAATTAACAATTCTGTCATCTCATCAATGATAATGATACATAAGCTGATATATGCTACAAAATGTGCTACAAAAATTTTATATGCAATATAGCATATTAAATGTTCTTATTATGTTAAATGTTCTTATTATCAATAATAATTTTTTGATCTTCAATTAAAGAATATTCATATTCTTATTAAAAAATTAACATTTTTCTATTAATAAGTTAATGTATTGGTTAATGTGTGTCAACAATTTTATAAAACAATATCAATCTTAAAGATGATTGTGATATATATATGTCATATGTAATATTATATATATATACATTAAAACTCTAATTCTTCTTCTAGATTAAAAAAATGGATGACTGTTATACTCAATGAAAAAATAAAAGTAGAATTACAAGGACTTTTATATCCAATATTTTGTCACCTTTATTTAGAGATGTTACATGCTGGTAACAGACAAGCTGCAATCCAATTCTTAAAAGCACATCAGAATGAATTTGTCTGTGACACGGAGAAAGATTTCTTAGAAGAATTATCTAGAGTATTTTCAGTGCAGGACATTGAATTGAGACCTTTGGTGAATGCATTCAGAACTAGAAAGTACAAAGTAGATCTGTCTGAGTCAGCTCATATTTGTTTAAGACAATATCTTACAAAATATGGACATATAATATTAATGCAGGTAATATAATTAATTGTATTTGTGTTTGTGTTCTCTTTTCATATATTTCATACATTTTAAATTTAAATTCTATAAGGACTTAATACAATATTTAGTCTTTTTTTCGCATGTTAATTTTATATATTAATATATATTGAAATAATATCCCAACAGCACAAAACAAAGGCGAATAAAAGTAAAAAAATGGCTGTTTTTATTAATATTTGTTTTTTATTTGATCTGTTATTATTATGATCTACTGTCCGGATTTTATGTGTGAAAAAAGTGAGATCCTTTTTATTTTCTCTTATTCATGTTTTATGTTTAATTAACATAAATCAATACATTACATTGTAATAAACTTTTTTTTACAAATTCTATTTTTACAGATTATAAATACACATATTACAATAATCAGAAAGGCAAGTAGTCCTAAAATGGATGGAGAAATACATGAAGAGAAAAGTCAAAGATATGAAACAAGTATTAATGGTCATGTGGAACAGCCATCTGGTACAGGTGTTGATCGCGAAATGCGAGAATTACAGGAAGCAATACGGTTAATACGAAATAATGCTCATCAAGCATTAAGAATATTTACAGTAAAGAATGCCATAGAAAAGTAAATGAGATTATAAATTCTTTCTACGGTTGCATGCTTGATATTACTTATGTTTGTAATGTACATCTTCTTTATGTATTTTTATAGCGCAAGTTGCGGTCTTATTGCACCTAAAATGGATAAATTAGCTGTAGGATTTAGCACAGCTGAAATACGTTTATGGGGTATAGGTGAAACGGTTTTAGTTGAACGTAAAAATAAACAAACGCATGTTCCATTTGTCTGTGATGTATCACCGTTTTATAAATTTAACGAACACGAAAGCATGTAAGTCGCGACAATATAATTTTTTTTAAAGTTTAAACTCTCATAAGACAATTATACAATTTTACAACAGAAGAAGCGAAGCAGGGGCGATATTATTAAGAGGACACACAGACGTAGTGCACGATTTAAGATTTATTCCAGAAGCAGACATTCTTCTTTCTGTATCAAGTGACAAGGATATGAGAGCTTGGAGACTCAACGATTATTCATGTACAGCAATATATAGGTAATAGGAATTAATCAAATGAATTTTTAGAAAATTAAATAATATCGAAAAAGTATTGTAATATCGTTCATCTTGTAAAAGATTTAATTTTCTAGAAATTTTTAATTATGTCGAGTCGAGTAACATTAAAAATAATTATATAGTTTCTAAATTTGCTTTTTTTTACTTTTTAATATTTGCAATTATCTTTAATGCGCTTTTTTCATCTTCACATTTTCTTTGCCTTAAACTTACTACTTAATACTTAACAAAAAAATAAATTTCTTTGCATCAGACTGACACATGTTATAATGAAATGTACAATATATATATATAATATTAAATTTAAATTTTTTTTATCATAGCGGTCATAGTTATCCAATATGGTGTATGGATACCAGTGTGTTCAATTTATACATTGCCACAGGTTCACATGATAGAACTGCTAAATTATGGTCATTGGATAGGACGTTTCCTCTAAGAATATTTGCTGGTCATTTTTTAGATGTCAATGTATGTTTATCTATAATATGTATCTATATTTGCACATTTGTTTTTTAGTGTTATAATTGTACGATATACTTGCACATATACATTTTAGTGTATAAAATTTCATCCAAACGCCCGATACTTAGCGACTGGTTCTGCCGACAAAACCGTAAGATTATGGGCCAAAGATGATGGAAGTTTAGTACGAGTACATGTCGGAGCTCAATCGACCATTTATACTTTAGCTTTTAGTCCCGACGGGAAATATCTAGCTGCTGCGGGTAATCAAATATGAAAGAAATATAAGTTATACAGTCAATCAGAAAATTCCATTCAATATAAACATTTGTCTTGGAAATGTATTGCTTAGGTGACGATAAATGTATATCTATATGGGATTTAGCATCTAATGCATTACTCACTGAATTGAAAGGCCATGAAGATACAATCATGAATGTAGATTGGAGTTTAGATGGCCAATATATTGCCAGTGCAAGCATAGATGGAATAATACGATTATGGCCTACTCAGGATTATATTAACACTTTGAATGGGTGTGTTTAAATATATAAATCTCCTTTAAAATTTTAAATTATTTATGTTTTATGTTATATACTTTTTTCAGAGGATCGTCAACCGCAATGTCTCAATCGGAAGCGCAAATATTTTCAACATCTTGCTCAAGCATTCTCTCATTGAATTATTATAAAAAGAATAATTCGTTGATTTGTATTGGCACAGCATGAGATTTTTATTATTTATTACTATTTTAACAAAATATATTTTTCTTAGATTTTTTTATCTACTTACTGAAAATTTTTCAATAAATTTTTCAGTAAATTTTTCAGTAATTTTTCTTTAATATTATATTCATTTATTTTATTCATGTCGCATCTGAAGTTAAAATTACTGATAACATTCAATATGATACATTTTTACATATTTATAAGTAGAAAATGCATGATTGTTCGAGTATTTTGTAAATAATGAAAAATTTGTTATTTGCTCTATAATTCGTCGATATTGTATATATTGTATATTGATCTTTTATATCATCAATTTTTCATAGTTTGTGCGAATAGTTCAATCTATTAGTCTTAAAATCAAAAAATTATATACATGTATAAAAAAATATAAATTTTGCATTTTTAGTCAGTATTAAAAAGTTAGAATCTTTTTTTTTCTTAATTTTAATCAATTATTCTGTCTACATGGTGATAATCAGACATATTTATGTAATTGTGCTTATGTAAGATTCTTGTGAGAATTGTCTAATAATACATTGACAGTTATCTGTCTTGTTATAAAGATTTGATAGGTTGTGAGTAATGTTTAAAAAAAAATACAATTTTTATAAGATAATGTATGCACTTTCATTATATAATTTGCATGACATTTAAAATATGAGTATTCTTAATTTTTCTTTTTCTTTTTCTTTTTTCCAGCCTTTTTATTATGAATATTAATTGATTCTTGTTGAATTTCCGCTTTCCGTTTTAATGTTTCCTTTATAGAATCTCCTTCGATGATATTGACAGTTTCTTTATTTAGTGGAGGAACACTAAAATCTGGAATCTATAATAAAATAAAATTAACAAATTATAAAACATTAAAAGCAAAATGCTCTATTTTTTTCTTGAGTTTTATATTGAAATAAACTAACACTTCTTTTTGTTAATCTATATATAAATATATATACTTACTTCTGGCTTTACAAGCTTAAAAATTAACTTTTCATGTTGAATATTAGATCTATCTAAACTCATTTGCACGATAATAGGGTCAAATGCTCGAAATACGATATTTCCACAAGTTTGGGATTGATCTTCGGAATTATACGTAAATGTGATAGAATTTGATGAAGTAGAATTACTTAGATACAATATTCCTTCTAAACCATATTTCGGTATAAGAACTTGTAAAGCATTTTTTCGTACAAAAAGAATATATCCTTCTTCATCCTGAACTTTATCGCGGAAAAATAGCTGAAACATACAATAGAATCTCGGTCAAAAAGTCAAATTTTTTTAAGCAATGTTAAATTATGAACAAAACAAAAAGAATATTTTTATAATACATTAAACACTGACATGTGTATGAAGTGCAACTGAGGCTCGTCCAGCATATTGCGCCATTCGATTCCGATAATTTAGATTTTGACACAGCAGATGATTGTTTTTTTTATCCAATAACTGTGGATAAGTCGCATCAGCGCCTATACATACGGCCAACAATCGATGCACGATTATATCTGCATATCTGTAAAATCTTATAATATGATGGAGATACAATTGAAATTAATTTAATAACAATGTGATAGCTTTCGTACAACTTGCCTTCGAATGGGAGATGTAAAATGCGTATAAATAGGGCATGCCAATCCATAATGCTTAAATTCTTCTGGTTGATGCATTCCACTAATAAAATACACTGCTTGTAACATACATCGTGTAGCTAATATTTTTAGCATTGTATTAAAGTAAGGATTCGATTCCTTTTTACTTTCTTCCAATGATTGTGCCAACTCTTTACCAGTATTTGTATTAATAATGAAACCCTATAATCAATTTTAAAATATTACAACCATTGCTATTAATAAATTCATAGTGTCTCGTGTGAATGATACAAAGAAATAGATGTATTTCTTCCTTATTTGAGATAAAACTCTGAGATAAAAATTCTTATATAGAAATGACAAGAAAAATCATAACTTTTTAAAATTTTCAATATTAAATATTATCATATACTTAAATGTCGAATTCAAATTTTAAATTGAATTAATTGAGACCTTACTTGATTTTTTGCAGCTTTAATCAATGGCTCAAAATTACTTTGTGGTGGTTCTGGATGTCTTCTTAGCATAGCACATTCTGGAAATTCTTTCAATATTCTTTCAGCAACACTAATATTTGCAAGCAACATAAATTCCTCCACCATAGAATTAGTTTCTCTCAATTTCTTTGCTTCCACGTCAATGGGATCGTGAGTCTCGCTATCTACTTGGAAACGTATTTCTGGTGATGCTAAAGTTAAGGCTCTATAAATAATTATTTAATATTATTAAATATGAAATATAATTCAATATAATTTAAAATATGATTAAGATATAATAGAATAAACGTACCCATTCTGTAGACGTCTCTTCTTTAACTGTTTGGCTATTTGATTTAATCCTCTTAATGATTGTGCAATAGCATCTTGTTGAGTGGCATCATCGATTTTTAATTGAGCTTCTTCATATGTCATAGCTCGACGCGAACGAATTATAGATTTACAGAATCGTGTATTGACTATATTTGCATCAGAATCAATCTCCCATATACAGGAAAACGCGAATCTTTCCTCCCCACCTCGCAAGGAACAAAGATTTGAGCTGAGTAATTCTGAAATACAAACATTTTATAATTTAGAAAACTGTCTATGCAACATATAATGGTATTTAAAATGAAGTATTCTTAATTTACCTGGCACCATGTCAATTCGTTTATCGACAAGATATACGGTAGTAGCACGTGAAGCTGCTTCCTTATCCAACGCAGTTCCGGGTCTTATAAAGTGCGATACATCCGCGATATGTACACCGACATCAAAATTACCATTTGGTAAATTCCTACAATGTAATGCATCGTCGATATCAGTGCAGCCAGGTGGGTCCACAGAACAGATATCCAGATGTCGAAGATCTTCTCTTTGTGCAATATCCTGATAAATTTATATATATACATATATAATGTTAAATTGATAAATGTCGCCAGTAGATAAAATAAAAAACGTAATTTAAATCAATTGGCAATTTAAATTACGTCTTTTATATATATATATATATATATATATATATATATATATATATAAAATAAATTATATATTTATATTATAAATTCCTACAATTCTATGTATTCATCTATAATTATTTATACAATCAAAACATTCTTTGTACAATTAATGCTTTGATAAATACAATTAATGCTTTGATAATTGGCTATTTCAATGAAAATTTGCAGCCATATATATATATATATATATATATATATATATATATATATATATTTACCATTTCTGTAATAACCCACGGTAGCTTTGGGAGAAAGCTAAGAACTGCATCGGAGAAATGGCTGTGTGGAACGTCGTGTTCCAAAAGTAATACTTCATTTTCTGTTTCTTTGTCTCCTATATTGCCAAGCGCTCGTACAAAGTGGCCGAGTGGATATCTCGAGTTTCGCGGCCATGAATCAAGTGCGACAATAATTCTTTGTTTACTTAATATTTCAGCCTGCCGAGTTTCGATTCTTATTTTGGGAATCTTTCTTTCAGCTGGCACAAATAAATGTCTTACATTCTGCATCAATATAAGATAAAATCATATTCAGTAAATATAAAAATTATTTTAATTATGTATTATTTGTGTTATAATATGACAAATTTTTACCCCTTTAATCGGACTCGGTTGCAATATTCCACAATACTGTCTCCACTTTCGCCTAATAATACCGACAATTTTACCTGTTGGTATTTTTTCTTTCGTTTTCAGTAAACTCGTTTTAGCAAGTACTTTTTCATTTTCTGAAACATCATCAGCATCATCAGCGTCATCTGCATTTTCTTCATCTTGTAAAACGATTTCACTAGGAGCTGACCATTGACTGTCTGGTAGGATCTCAATCGCAACTATATCGCCATCGACTGCTCTATTAAGATTAGTACGTCCTTGCACAAATATCTAAGACAATAAAAGTAACAAAAAAAATTATATAACTATAATTTAATAATTATATGTCGTGCTTGATAATAGTTTATTAATATTTGATTTGACGAGGAATATTTGAAAATTTTTAAATTATATTTCATATTTATATATTATTCATTAATTTACAAACAATTTATGCAGACTTATAACTTATATATTGAATAACTCGTCTGAAATAAATTATTTATTTAAAGCATTCTCAAAATAAATATTTAATATTTTCTCTTTAAAATTGATAATATTGATGTAATATTGACTATACATTAAAATGTTTATAAACATATATATATATATATATATATATATATATATATATATATCACTTACAGGTTTCTCCCTTCCTTCAACATTTACATTTCCTTCAAGAAAATTTTCCCTTGATGCCAAAAATGTTCCTTGCAACAATTTACCAGATGATATGCCATCATGTATTTCCACAGGTGTTAGATGGCAAGGAAATAATTCTTGACTTTGAATATCCAAAGTATAGGAATGTTTGCTTAATTTATCCAATAAAAAACTTGAATTTTCTAATGATGTAATATAATCCTCCACTATATAAAAAAGAATACATATTATTATTTATACTATAATTGTATAAAAATAATTCTCAGAAAATTGAAATTCTATATATCTTACTGGATAAAACAAATAGGCCATCTTCAGCTGCACGTGTTCTATTTTCTACATCATCTGTCAGTAAAACAACCTTTATATTGTAGTCATCAAAGCTCAAATGATTGTTGTACCATTTGACTGCAACTCGTATTGCTCTGTCATTACGATCATTTATCTTCTCACCTGGTTCCCTTTCAATATAAGTCTCCCTAAAAACAATGTATAATATAAAATATTGCTTAATACACTGCAAATATTATTATATCATTTTGTCCTATGTAATAAATATTACACATACCGATGATGTTCATTAATAAACACAAAAAATTTTCGTTTTGAATCTTTTATGATGTTTTTCAACTTTTTATATACATTGGAACTTCTATGTCGAATCTCTTCCAACACTGTCTGCAGGATAATGACATTGGTGATAACATCTTCTTCCAATATATCTATCTACAAATAAAAATCAAACATATTTATATAACCCAATATAGAATCATTGCAAATACAAGATGCAATTAGATTGCAATTATGTTCAATACAATATTTGTATCATTCTGATATGACTTACTTGATCCAGAATTATATTTGTATCCAGTATAAGAACATATGAAAGTGGAATTAAAGAAGATTTCACGGTATCTTCCTCATCCAGTACCAGGTCTCGAGATCTTGCCTTACATTTCTTACATGCTTTAAAACCACAGTAAATATCGTCTCTGAGATAATGCTCTCTGACGGTCTAATAAATGAAAGCAAACACTTAAATAATCTTTTGATAAAAATATTATTCATAAGAAATCTTTCGTAAAAACATTAAAATGTGCAAATTTAATCTTACAAAAAATTTTCAGTTTTCATGACAAAACCAAGAGATATCTAAATCTACACTTAGCAAAATCATACCTTAAATATATTTCCTCCCTTCGTTTTTCTAAAAAAAACCTTTGTCGTCAACATCTCTCAAGTAAATTTAGTTAACGTTGTATTAATAGAAACGTACAAATGTACGAATTTTTTTATAAAATTTATTAAATTTGTGCACATTTATGATTATGGCCTATACATTAACATGCGCTCTGTCCGCTAAAACTCCTCATTTAAAGTATGTTCGAAAATCCTACTTAGAGTACTAATGAATTAACCAATCAAAACGAAGAAATCTTTGCTCCTTTTTGATTGGTTAATTAAAAGATATTGTATCTCATAAATAGAATTTTTGAACACATCCTTGCTTGTACTTTTTAAGATTTCTCTAGATCCCTATTGACTCTTGCCAATTTGGAGAGCACCTCTCTTTGTTGTATTATATATTCGAAGCATTTCTTGTCATTTTGAATCCTCCTTCTACAAAAAAAGCGGGAAACTTTTGTTGGCAATAAGTTTTGCATGGAGAGAGAGAGAGAACATGATAAAGGTATAAAAATTAAAATATAATTTTTACAAAAAATTGAACAAATTGACGATTTATCGCTATATATATATTTGCTCATTTGTATGTTAGAAATATAAATTGAATTTGCTAAAAATCAGTTTTGTAAAGTGTGTTGAAAATAAATCATCTTATTTTCAGAAGAGCTAATTGCAAGATTTCCAATCACAACATCAATTCACAATTAACATACAGTGTGCATGAATTGAAAAAATTCCTTATTTTCAAGATAGAAGAGGCAATCGCATGATTATTTCTGCATTTTAGAAACAAATATTTTAAAATCTAATAATCTTGAAACAGTGGCAATATATTGCACATGAATTTATAATTATAATCTCAATTTTCAAAGTGTAAAAATGGAACCACCACAAGAATTTCCATTTCCTTTTCCAGCATATCAAATTCAAAAGCAATTTATGAAGGAATTGTACAATTGTCTAGAAAATGGCAAATTAGGTCTTTTTGAAAGTCCAACTGGTACAGGAAAATCTTTATCTCTCATTTGTGGTGCGCTTAAATGGTTAATTGATCATGAGAAATGGAAGAAGCAGGAATTAATTTCTATAATTACGGAAATAGATAATAAAATAAAGAACTATGAAAAGTCATCTGATGATTGGTTTACAGTGCAAACAGAACAAATAGAATTAAATAAGCAAAGAGAACCATTGCAAGCTAAGTTAAATGCACTTCTTGAATATGAAGATGAGAGAGGAAAACTTAAAAAATTAATTGAATCAAAAATGGCTGTTAAAACTAAAACAACTAGGAAAATAAAGCAACAGTCCACAACAAAGTTTACAGAGTCTAGTAAAACAAAAAAAGAAATTGACTTGGATATTTGTGATACCGAAAGAGATCTTATCTTGGAAGATGCATTGTCAAATTCAGAAAGTTCTGAGGAAGAAGATAAGGAAGAACCATTATTTAAGAACACCAAAATCTTTTTCTGTTCTAGAACGCATTCACAGTTGACACAGTTTGTGCATGAATTGAAGAGATCTCCTTATTCGCAAGATATTTCTGTGGTGCCACTCTCATCAAGGTATCTGTATACCAATTTAACATTTTTACACTTATTATATTTATTATATTCATTAATCTTTTATGAATACTTTACTATATTTTCAGACAAAATTACTGCATTAACAAAAGCGTCAAAAGATTAAAACATATTAATTTAATTAATGAAACCTGTTTACAATTACAAAGAAAAAAAACTACTGTTAAGAAGGAAAAAGACTTAAAGAAATTAAAAACTTCAAGCGGTTGTCCTTTTGTACCAGGTGATCAAAAATTATTGATGGCTGAAGTTCTAACAAATATTAAAGATATCGAAGAGATTGCACAAAAGGGCCAGGAAAATGATACTTGTCCATATTATGGCTCAAGAAAATCTCTGCAAAGTGGACAATTGATATTAGTTCCATACAATTCCATTCTACATAAAAGTACAAGAGATAGTTTAGGAATAGATTTGAAAGGAAATGTTTTAATAATAGATGAAGCCCATAATTTATTGGATGCTATTGAAGGAATGCATAGTTCTGTAATTACAGGGAGAAATTTGCTTCACTGTTATAGTCAGCTACTACAATATCAGAAAAGGTATTGTTGCAGTTATATATTTCTTTTGATATTAAATGATATGTTAAATAAATTTCTGACAATGAGAATAATATGATTACAGATTTGAATCTTTATTCTCAGCTAAAAGTGTATTATATTTAAGTCAGCTAAGTTTTTGTTTAAAAAAACTTCTAACTCTCTTTGGGGCAACAACAAAATCTCATCCCAGTGATGAGATTAATAAATCAGTAACACCCAAATTATACAAAATAGAAGAATTCGAACTACTTACAGAGATTGATACAGTAAATATATTTAAGCTGTTGGAATTTGTTAAAACTTCGAAACTCATTCATAAATTACAAGGATTTGTCGAGCAGTACGGCAATAGTATAAAAATCCATGAACAGAAAATAAAGAAATCCGGTATTACGGAATTTCTAGATTCAATTAAAAACAAAAATACATCATCTCTTGGAACTTCCAATACCGCTGATATATCGGATAATAATGAAGAACAAACGAGCAATCCATTGATGGTAATTTTGAACTTTCTAGAATGCCTGAAGAGCAGATGTATAGACGGCAGAATATGCATTTTACCTGCTGCTACTATCGGGCAAGGAATTATAAAATTTTTATTATTAAATCCAGCAACACATTTTCATGATATTGGTATGTGCACATTAAATAGTTATTTAATATATATACACCTGTTTCATTTTTATTCTTATATTTTGTATTGTAAAATTCATAGTGAGAGATGCCAGATCAGTAGTACTTGCTGGTGGCACAATGGAGCCAATGTCCGAATTCATAGATCAATTGTTCCTAATGGCAGGTGCAATGCCAGACAGGATTATGACATTTTCGTGCGATCACGTAATTCCCAAAGAGAATATTATATCCAATGTCGTGATACGTGGTCCAACTGGAATTGAATTTGAATTTAATTTTCATAATCGGCAAGATACAAAATTGGTAATAAAATTCTTCCTCTATCTTACATTTAGAAAAATAAATCTAAAAAATATTTATACATATGCTTGTTTTGATAGGTAAAAATTAATTGTAAAATATTAAGAATAACGTTTTATTTCAGCTGGATGAATTAGGTAGAGTTCTATTAAATTTATGTAACATTGTACCAGCTGGAATTGTAGCATTTTTCCCATCTTACAGCTATGAAGACATAGTATTCAAGCATTTAGATAAATCTGGCATTGCATCAAAAATTTCTATAAAGAAACGTATCTATCGTGAACCTAAATTAGCATCACAAGTAATTTATTTTTTATTAATATTTTATATTGTTGATATGAATATTTATGTTTGATATGTGAAAACATGTTATACATTTTATATTATAAAATGTAGGTCAATGTAATATTAGATCAATATGCAAATTTCATTAAAAATCCACAACCTCCATGTAATGGATCCTTGTTGTTTAGTGTAGTTGGTAAGTATAAATTAGAGAATTATATCAATATTGTATAAAAATCACTTGTGCATATTTTTTATCATCAATAAAGACAAATTAGCAATTCTCTAATTTACATGATATATTGCAGGTGGTAAATTAAGTGAAGGTTTAAATTTTTCTGACGATTTGGGTCGATGTATTATAGTTGTTGGTTTGCCATATTCTAATATCAAATCACCAGAATTGCAAGAGAAGATGAAGTATTTAAATGAACATGTGGTTTGTATTACTTTACATAAAATCAAGAATTTGTCACTATAATTTAGCATGATGTTTTAATGTTTCTCATTTTATTTTTCAATCTCTGTTCAGAAATCAGATGCTGGAAGTAATTTTTACGAAAACTCCTGCATGAAAGCGGTAAATCAATGTATCGGCCGATCTGTTCGTCATATCAATGATTATTCAACAGTTGTATTATTAGATAAACGTTATCGTCATAAAGTTAAAGTATTACCACAATGGATCCAACGTTCAGTGACAGTCAATGATTCATTTGGACCTGTAATTGGTAACATTGCAAAATTTTTTTCGGCGAAACGAATTAAAACAGTTTAATCTATGATAACAGTGATATGTGTGTAGATCAACTAGAAAGATACTATTTATTAATATCTTTTAATGTCATGTATTTATCAAAGTTCTTTTTAATAATATAAAACTAATTATAATATTTAAATAGAAATTTTTTCTTATACTTTAAAGTTTTAAAATAAAGTAAGTTTTAAAAATTGTAAATTTAAATTAAAAATTTCATATTTCTTGCTGATACTTGATATATTGTAATATCTCAACATATTAAAATAATTTCTTCTATAAAAAGTATAAAGAAAACTTGTACCTTTAAGGTAATTTAAAAACATCACATATAATTGGCCAATTGAATGCCAAATTTGTAAATTAAGTCATGACAATAGATTTCTCCGGGTTGTAGTATGGAACAAGGAAAGTGTGACTGAAAGAAAATTTAATTCACGAATGAATCTTGAGAAATGCCATATTATAATTTTGTAACGTCTTTACTACTTACATAATTAACGGCATTTGGATAATTTTGCGGTTGAATGCTGAAAGCACAATGTTTTACATAGCGAGCACTTTGCTTGCCTAAGAGAAACGACGGTGATTCGGCTATCGCGTCTTGTTCCATTTGATCGATCGTTAATGTTTTTTCCTTATCTTCTTCACGATTCAAGTTGTTACTTTGTTTAACAACAATGTTACTGTCAATCTAGAATTATATATATATATATATTTTTTAAAAGCTTAATAGTTTTATATTTTTTCAATATCACAAATTAATATCCATTATTGTTGTATTTAATGATAAATTGACAGTACCTCAGAAGCAGCGTCTGTTAATAAACGACCACCTGTATAAAACTGTACACCAGGTTGATCGGAATAAATTTCTAGAACGCTGTGTATATATGTATATGGTTATTTAGTTCCAGATTACTATTATTGTGTTTATATATTTAATTATAAACCTTACCGACCACTTTCTGGATGGATAGCTCGAGCGACGTACGTGCTACCTCCGTGCCAATTTGGCGTGACGCAGAAGTTATGATCGTACCCTTCTCCTGGAGGAACCTGTGGCTTATACGAATTTATTAACATTTTCTCGAAATTATCATATCATATTGATCTGCTACAATCACAAAAGGACACCTTCTCGATACAATTCTCCAAAAACTTCGGTATACGTAGATCCATGATGGTTCCTCCGACTCCTCTGATACTGCCGGTTGGTATTGGATCAGTATAATCTGCGAAGGTCCAGCGATCGCAGTTCAATGAGATTTTATGCTTTATCAATTCCTTTTTACCGGTGTCCTACATTACATAAGATTAATACATATCTGCCATATAATTTTTATCGAAGCTAGAACTATTCGTCATTTGATTTGAAAGAAGTAATATATGTTTGTAAGTATATAAAACATTTTTCTTTGCTTTTTCTCTACGGATGATGATTTCAGCTTCAATAAATTTACACAAAGCGTATTTTGTTAATTACATGTCCGGCAAGGTTGAACAAAGAACCATGTGAGATGTTGACTATCGTAAAATCGGTCGTGGTCGCCCGGATACCTATTTCCAGTCTATTATCTGGTGTCAACTTGAATCTCACCGTGCTCAACAGTGCACCAGGATATCCCTCTTCACCATCTTCGCTTAAGTAAGTCATGACGACTGAGCAATCGTCGATATACGAATCCCATAATCGTTGACCGAAGCCCTTCGTCTAAAAAAGAAAAAAATAAAAGAAGACTCTAATTTTCAAAAAGAACTATATAAGATGAGCGAACTTACACCTCCGTGTAGATGATGTTTGTCAAGGTCGTTTCTTGTGAGCTGGTAAGTTTTGCCCTTAATAACAATACAGCCGTTTTTTATACGATTCGCGCACCTACCCAATACGCATCCTATGAATGGATTAATCCTGGGATTCGTATAGCCTGCAATACAAATTAGATAAATATAAATTAGATTAATAAGAAACATTATTCAAATATTATGAATAAATATGTAATTATAATTCGTACTCTTTAAATCGTCGAAACCAAGCACAACATCTGCAATACGTCCGAACTTATCGGGATATTTTAACGAGACGATCGTAGCACCCCAAGAAATGATGGTGATCTCTACGTGATTCTTGTTAATCATTGTATAGGATTTCACTGGTATCAGCTGAGATTCCTTATCATCAATGTACGAGGATAATTCTGTCTCGTTATGTTCTTTATTATCATAGCGATGTATCTTATCTCCGGGAGATTCTGTAAGACTTTTATATAATTATATGTCAATATAACAACTGGACATGAAATAACAAAGTACCGGCAAAAATTTCTCCAAATATTCCTTCCGTAATTATGACATCCTTGCACTCGCAATCATAGGTGATCATATTTCATGTGTTTTTTTTATCTGTTTACTACCACATATGCAATATATGATCCAAGCAGAATGGGAAATTTTGTCATTGCGGCTTTGTATTTATAGCAAACAATAATTTTTGCGACAAGAGATATAAATCAGAAATAATGGGTTATAAAATATTATCTCAATTTTTTATATTTTTTGTTGTTTCAACATTAGAAAATCGCTTTTTCATTTTTTGTTTGCAACACACATAAACATTAGGCTAACTATAAAAATTATTTTATAAGCTATATATTTATATATATATATATATATATATATATATATATATATAAAGTCAAAAAATTATTTAGTAGGAATATGGAAAGCGTGAAATGTGTGGTCACTCAAAGAGCTGAAACTTATTGATGCTGTTATTTAAAATTATTTATTATTAATAATAATAACGATAATAATAAAAAATAATATAATGAGAATATAAAATAGAAATAAGTAGAATGCATTATTTGTGATTCATTTATAAAGACCATAATAATAGTATTATTAGTTACGACCATAATAATAATATTATTAGTAATTAATAATAATATAAGAATAAGTAATAAAGTTTATTATTATCCTTATTATTATCATTTTTATATATACTCTATGTATATATATAATTATTATTTATATCATTTATATAATTAATATTTATAGAGTAAAATATGTACAATGTTTGGAAAAATACATGAACTTTCAGTGCAGATCAGACATATTAGACACTCAAAATATTTGTCTAAGGACAACACGTAAAAAAAATCGAAGACAGAATATATTATTACAGATATAATTCAAATTTTTAAATAATCGAGTTCTCGAGAGGTCTCTGTCATGAAATTAATATTTATTCGTCTGTGTATGTATATATAATATTAATCATTTCTCTCCATCCTCTCGTAGATAAAAACAATTCTGTGAGACTTCGCCCGTCATGTTTGGCTATCGTTTCAAAATCGTCTTTTTCGATCGATTCCTCTGATTAAAAGTGAATTTTTTCCAAACTCAACTTCGCGAAATCGCCGATGAAAGTTATATTACATTGAACAATTTTTCCGTCGAAAGCGATATTGGGTTTTTCGCGTTATACATTTTTTTTTCTTCTTTCGTTAAGGCGCGCACCGAAGCGATTCATTATTCTCATTTAAATACACGTGGAACACATTGCACTTAGCTTATCGTTAATATACTTAAGCTACAATTACTCCATGTTATTCCAAATAAAATGCTTGCGATTTACGAGTTGCGATGTACGCGTTCTACGTTCTCTCTATAATTATCACGTATTACAAAGGAATACTGAAAAGGAGAAACTTAAAATTTCGCATATGTATATATATATATATATATGTATATACACTAAATTGTGATAGCCCCATGCGAGAATTGTATTAAATTGTTTTTATATTTATGAAATATGTTATGCATTAACTTTCTGCGCGCACCGCAAGCGTAGCGAATATCAGGAGCTATCACAGCCCAGAACGTGTGTACATCGATTAGATAATTCGTTTAATAATTAATCATCTTGGTCGTGGTTGTTATTGTACAATTTGCTAATTCGCGCAAGCAATGCATGCATGCAATTTCGAGATATAACTATATATAGATACGTCATAAAATATATATATTTACACGTTTTAAATGCGATATCCATAAGAAACAGGTTTAGAGCAACGGGATCTTATTATGTTTCACGATGAGTATTTTTTTTGTGTTTCAGTGCCTCAACCTTAGGTCCACTCGTTCACTCGACCTAACTACACTAGTGAGGACTACATTATACATATATAAACGTGAGTCGTATATTAGTGTAAAAACGGTGTTAGTCTCGCATACATTATTTATTATATCATCTTGACATACGTTCGTATGTTCGCGCATAAATTTGACAAATTTATCCTGTATCAAAGTGCGATAGATTTGGCAAAGATAATAACAAAAGACTAAGAGGAAGAAAAAGATTCAATAATATTGATCATTGATACAAATATATTGATATAAATATACAAATATATACATATATAAATGTATATATAAATATAAATGATACAAATATAAATGTTTGAAGAAAGAAATTTATATTCTTCTTTGCTATAAAGTTTGAATAAACTTTACTTCAAATCATCAATTTAATCAATTATTTCAATATCATTGTTCTTTTATCGCGAAAAAATATTGATCGAGAATTATTTTTTGAAAAATCAATAAAAAATATCTGAAAGAAATAAATATTATTACATTGCATAATATATCATACGAACGATACACGATAAATTGATTTAGTTTTTTCTTTACAGAAATGTATATGTATGTATGTATATATATATATATATATATATATATATATATATATTTGTAGACTGATAATATATAAAGAGACCTCAAGTTTCACTTGATATGATACAAGGTGATTTATCTCTATATAGAATTATTCTGAACACACGTTTCTCTATTATACACGTTCTGTTCAACGATTCAAACATATTCCGCGTAAATGCTCTCTAATAAAGTATAAAATCGGATTTTCATCTCCTCTTAATTTCTATAGGCTAAGGTGTTTTGTTGTCATATATATAAAAAATAAATATAGCTTAGACTAGCACTGTCGGCGATACGCCATTACACAATCAATAGCTGCCGCGAATGTTTTATATCTCCTCATACAATTAAATTACACAATTATTATAATATATGAACAATTATACTCTCGATATCTCAGCGCTCTTTCCAAACACTGTGTCAAATATTTCTCTTTCACTCTCTCTTTTTCCATTATCATGGAAGCATTTTGAATTTCTATATGTGTCGCTTATTTAAGTACGTGATATTAGCACCGCAGAATACCTTCGTACAGAAAGGTATATATCCATTAAATATGTCGCGCAAGATAATGTACAAAAAAGACAATTGTCTACAATTATATACGATTTGATAAAAAGCTGCTTTTTCCCTTGACATTTCCCGTAAAGACCAAAGTCGAGACAAAAATTTATCAAAGTTTCATTATTGCCAATTTCGATGTCAAGTTCACGTTTCTTTAAAAAAACTTGAAACAACAAATTTGTGTCCTTTGAATTTCTTTGTGAGAGAATTTTATTCGAGAAGTTGATTCTTGTTTCTTTGTTCTTTCTCTCTTTATATTGATTAAATCTCACTTTGGCGAAATCAAAATATATCTCTTCTTTAAAACATTTGCATATTATGTACATTACATCTTCAATACTGATAATCATTATTTCAGAAAATAATATAAATGAAGAACGGCTCTTTTTCACGACGATAAGAGAAAATATCAACCCGTGATTTTTCATGCATAATACGTTGTATGAAATTGACGATACAAACAGGATATTTTGATTTCTTCGAACACGACGTAAAGAGAATGTAAATAGCTTCGATTTCACAGATTTAAAGTGAATTCGAACATTCTCTATTTTATCATAGTGTGCATCGATAAAATAACGTGCATCGCATATTTTAAATCATTGTTCACCAATCATACATATACACTCGGGACACATAGAATATGCTTTAGGGAGTACATGAACGTTCCTCAACATTTTCCTAAATAATTTCAATTAAAAGAAGATAGCAGAGACATCGATATCACGCTTGAATTAGTTTAATAGAAACGCTTACAATCGTTAATAATGTGACGAAGAATATTCATGAAAAATATAAAATTCGATTTATACCTTTCTAAGAAATACGCAAATATCGTGAAAGACGCGTGAACTGTAAGGAATGTATGAGTAAAATCACTACGTCATTAAAGTATTAATATGATCTTTATCTCTATATGTACAACGTGCGCGAAAAAGAGAGAGAAAGAAGGAGGGATCTTTATTTTAAAATGATCCCTACAAATACATCTCGCGTTTTGCGCAGCTGTATTATTGTATTTATCTACTTACACGCTTTGGATACTTTCTACAGACACGCAAATTGTTTATAAAGAGGTGTACTGTTTCATAAGGTACAAAAAGAGCGTGACAGCTGCGCAAGGCGCACGCCTTCACTACTGAATCAGGTCTGACGATGATCCACGTAAACATTGTGTGAAAACTGCTATATTGTACATGTCTTTCGTTTTATCTTTACTTGTCGATCGTCCTAAGAGATGGAAGTACCCGTGAATAGATGTATAATCGTGCACATCTCCAATTGTGCATTGCGATAGAACGTATCATTAAGCAGAAATTTTAATAACGATATAGCACCGTTTTCCCTTCTTTCGACGTGTATAAATCTCTAAAACTAAATAAGTAAATTTATTTTTAAAAAATAATTAAAAAGAGAATTTTTGTCTAATTTAAGGAATTTTATCTAATTTAACCACCTTATTTCCTGAAGTGAAAGGAAACGGAATTATATCGTTATAAAAAACAGTGGTACAACTTTAAATACAATTATAAATGACTAGTTACACTGATTGCGATAAAAAGGAGAGATTATGTCGGAAATACTGTAGATATTAATACACATAATATCGCGGAAAAAGAGTCAGCTAATTATATAATACTACAACTAATACTTTGCAGCTGTCCGTGCCCTTTGTAAAGTACATAAAATTAGACAATTATATAAATAATTATATGATTGTTCTTTAGTTCGACAACTATCGATTATTCATCTAATAACTTTACACATTTCTATTAATATTAATAATAATCGAGTTGCCAATGCTTAATAATTTAACATGAATTGCTTGTTTCAACTTATACAAAACACACGAAATTTACACAATTTTTCACCATTTTTTAAAATCCTTTATCGACAATACTATAATAGGAAAATTTAAAAAAATAGTAAAATTAATAAAAATATGCGCAATGCATTGTCTAAGTACACAAAGAAATACTGTTCTCATTCTAATTAGTGTAAGCAATGTGGAATTGACATTTACTCTATTGGCATTTATCACAAACTGAAAACAGTAGCTTTAAGATATTTAAATCCGAGATCTGATAAGATATTAATTCCACATTGCGCAGAGCAATTCTATTCATTCCGACAAGTCTCTCTGGAATGTTTCGAGTTCGCGCCAAATATCACTAAAAGTTTCGTTTCGAGGAACATACGAACGTAAAGCATCGTGCTATAAGTACGACAAATTTATAAGTTTTGTTTCCAGCTGAGATACAATTAAATTACGCGATAGTTATCGAAGACAATAAATGTTTTCTTTTTTATTAGCGTAATGGAATTGCATGTTACATTACAGTTTACACATTCTCAATAACTCTTCCCTTCTGCAAAGTCATGTCCCTTCCCTCTTTACGTTTTCAAACATATGCATATTGTTAAAATATTGATTAGTATATAAATATGATAACGTTTCCGGAATGTTTCGGTAAACCACGAAGAATATCAAACTGCCATAAACATACAATTACCCGAGAATAATAATATATGATAATTATTATTTAACAAAATATAGATTGTTATATATTAATTATCATATCGATAAATAAAATTGATACACACAATATTCTGCTATTGTATCAATCATATAAACTATTAATTGTGGAATTCTTTGCAAGTTGATCACCGGAGAGTAAATCAATTCCAAGGAATCAATTGTTAACAAATGGAATTGATAATATATTTCTCTGCAGTATTTTGCAAAAAAATGCTCAGACTAATAGAATTTACATTTTGAATGTATGAAATATTCACTCGTGGTGCATATTTTTTACACGCGACATGTATATTAAATACCATTACGTTATCAAATTAAAAATCATCTAATCTTCTATTATGTTACGAATTTCGCTGGATTGTACGTATGTTATATGGAATGTTAATTCCCAGATTTATATACCGATGAAAATCGTCCGCGGGAGGCAGTGCTTCAACAACGTGCAATTCGTTTCTATCACTTTTTATCCGCTGGTCAATCGGATCGCGGATTATAAGATTGAAATTTACGATCATAACCGCGATATAACCAAGGATTGTATAAAGAGATCGATTCATTAGAGATCTCGATAAATAGATGAAGCATAAATTTGATGCTTCAGATCCTAATTAGATGTATAAGAGCGACGCGATCTTAAATAAGCCAGTGCTATGACAAGAATTCCCTCTCAAGCTCCGAGATGCTCGGTTTCCTGCTTCGATTGAGACGTCGATTGGCTTGTAACGGCACTGTTACATCTTGACTCTGACCGTGTACTGGAATGTCTAGCAATGTGTCTCTTACGTGAATGTCGCGCGCCGATGCAACATCGCGATCGAATGTCACCGGCGAAAAGCGTACGCGACTGATAGAGATTTGACTGTCCTTGGCAGAGACATAGCTCGAGTCTTCGGACGTGAGCGAGTCCGGCGGTGTCGGATTCGTCGGTGTTCCTGAGCCGGAATTGTTTTTGCTCACACTTTTACTTGGCGAGCTGTATGGATTGCTGCTGTAACTGGATCGCTTCAGACTCGAGCGCAGCCGCGTAACTACTTCCAGATTGCTCGGTCGCTCGCCTGAATTCGAATTTGAATCGGAATGCGAGTTCTGACGGGTCAGCAATGGCGACCCGTACTCATGATTGAGTATACTGGAGCCGTATGTCGACACCAAGCTAGAAATAACATTCGACGGTCGCTGATAATACGATGCAGGCGAATACACACCGTAATCGTCCTCGTCTTCCAGTCGGAACGTTGGATTAACATTACTTTGGCTTGACGTGCTCGCATTGGAGACGTTCGATGAGGTGCGGTGATGCGTGTAAGGCAGAAGTCTAGACGACACGGGTCTTGCCAGACTATTCATGCTACTCGGATTGTCATACGCGTGTGGGAATTCGGAGCATTCGAGCATTCGGTCGCTGAAAGAAAGAACGAACGAATGAAATGATTACCTAGTCTTTTAAGATATTTATATACTATTGATATATCAAAAATATGCCACAGACATACCAAGCAATGTAAGATTTTCTGAGATTTTAAATCGCGGATATAAAATTAAGAATATTAAAATAATTGCCGATTATATATATATATATATATATATATATATATATATATATATATATAGGGTGTTTCATAAATATATATGTATATATACTTACTGATACTCTGTAGATGCAAAATATGGTTCAGAAGACCGATAATAATCCGGTGGAACAACGGAGTACACCGGCGGCCCATAATCCGGGAATGGGGCGACATTGCCCATGTATATCGTCGGCATTCTCTCCATCCGAGGGTCGCTACGGGCTGCATCGTGCGAATATGCTTCCTCGTTGCTGGTACTGCCGCTGCTTTTTCTTCTTGGGCTTGGTGTTGGAGCGTTGGAGCCTGTTATACTACTTGTGTAATGCTGCGGCGAGTCCGTGAAACGCAGAGGCTTATCCGCCGGCATCGCCGAGGATGGAAGACCAGGCGCTATGCCACCCATGTTGCTTAGGAACGGCCTGCAACATTAATCGCAATCTCGGTAAGTATCAGAGAGAGCTCTATAGGTCCGTTCTCTAAACTGAATATTTTATAACTATTTTTTTTCTTTTTACGCAAATTACCTATAATGGTGTGCCCGTCCATGATAAGTATTGTGCAGATAGCCGCTGCTCGAACTGAACTCGTAATCGGCACCGAGGTAGGAGTTGCGATTCGATCCACTGTCTGCCATAAACCACCACTTGGATTGATCTTCGCCGTCGCATTCGCCGCCCAATCTGGGATACAGTCGCGGATGAATCGGAGATACGTTCGACATCCTCACGTCATAGCCAGCGGCCACACCAGCAAGCATCGCCGCGATGTCGTACAGAACCAACTCAACTATACTTGGCCTCGACTTCTTCGCCTCGCCATTGTAGAGGGTTGGCATCGGTACTGGCATCGGCATGATGTACGGTCCGGTTAGTCCGGGCTTCAGAGGATGATCCGATGTTATCCAATCAGTCGACAGATCGGGCGGTACTGTATAATCTATAAAAAATATTCACGTTGTTTCTTCTTATGGGAGAGGAGAAGAGGGATAACGACGATAAACATAACACTTGCGTAGTTTGTTCACGATAATAATTAACAGATTAATTATTTTATTTACAGAATATAATTTATATCTGTTTCTCTATTGGAATTCGATAGGAATTCCAATTCTCTATAAGAATCCGATTGAAAAAATGCTATTGCTTACCTTGCCTGTGCGATTGATCAATCATCAATTAACAATATATCTCTATATATTTTGCTTTCGATATACTTCTTATGCGCAAAATTTCAATTTAACATTAAGTAGTGCGATAGAGCAGCTTACGCGCTTAATTGTTTTATTAATTGCTCATTATTATCCATGCACACAGACAAGCAATTATGTCGTGTCGAAAAGTATTAATTAATTATTTGTATATGTTAGTTATTTCTACTTCTACAATTTTTAGCGCTAAGAGAAAATACCCATTATTAAAAGTTGTGCAGCCATTTAACTACAACATTAAAGACATATTTCAAAAATCGGCTAAAGTATATAATAATCAGATTATACAAAAATATATCTCTTTTTAAGGCACAAATTTTATTTCGAATTAATATAGAGAAAATATTTTCAATCTGATATTAATCTTAGCCAATTTTTATAGATGGAAGCAAAGTTCAACGCACACTAAAGAAACATGACAAATTACTTATATCAATCTACTAATTCTTGCACACATAATGACCTTACATAACATGTTTAGAGATAAATCCGCAAGAAATTTCTTACACGCATCTAAAATACAAAATATCTTAAACTTTGAAAATAATTATGTTACATTGCACAATAAAGTATTACAGATACTGTTTTATACATTTTTTACTTGCGTAAAAATCCACTTAATTTTTTTCGAATTTAAAACAAAACGACAAAGAATCATATAAAGCGTTGGACTAATTATAACAGCACTTAATCAAGCAAATAATGCTTTTATTCCTCTCGTAATTATAAAAATAGAAAAATTTCGTAATTACAAAATTATACAATATATTTAATATTTGCTCTTAGGATTTTGGGAAAGAGACAGGAACCAAACCCAATCGGAGTTAACAAGTTAGGATTCCTACTGGAAGCATGCAAGGATTTTATTTCTTTTTACGCTCGGCATATTATAATCCTTTTCAAATCAGACGCGTGATAATGTGATAATTGTGAATATAATCTGCTATATTTTCTTCTTAGCAAAAGTGTGATTGTCTAATAAAATTCCAAGTTGTATCAAAAAAGCACAGGCATAAATATTATAATATGTATTATCGACATAATATATATATATATATATATATATATATATATATATATATATATATATATTATGTCGATAATTTTTATAAATGTCAAATATGAGTCAAAGTTGTGCTATGTAGACCGAGCGTAAAAATACAACGAAAAACGAAAAAACAAAATTCAACGTGTCCAACTGAAAAGGTTTTATTGAAAAAATTTCTATTTCTAAATACAGGTGTGTATGTGCGTGTAGCTCCGTGTTGAATGTGATGTGTGCAAATCTTTGCTCTCGAAAATGCTGGAAGTTTGGCATAACGAATAATACAGAAACGAATATATAACACGCTCTCTGAAAGTTGTATTTAACAATTAATAAATGTCCAATCAATCTAAGTGCACATAAGGCAACAAAGTATAAGAGGATTATATTAACAAATATATACTTTTCTCTATTCCTCTCTTCTCTCTCTCTCTTTCTTTCTCACTCTCGCTCTCTCTCTCTCTCTCTCTTTATGTATATATATATCTATATATATATTTATCTATACAATACATACGATATAATTTTTTGATTTTTTTTCATTAATAAAATTATGACTATGCAGACACATACAACCTGACAACGTTCCAACGTAAAAACAGTACCGTTGAAGTTGAACTTTGCGGTAATGGACGAAGCGTATGACTCTCTTTCACGTAGTAGTGGGCTGTTAGATCTGCTTGTTAGAAATGTTAAATGTCTTCCAGATAATATCAGAAAAGAACCAACACCACAGAAAGACTGCGTATATGTATATTTCTATATTTTTTTTTCTCTTATGCGCTCCCTCTCTTTCATTAGATCTCAACTTACTCGAACTACGAGTATCACATCGCCTTAAATTAAGATAAATAATAATCGTAATTTTTACGGAAATCGTAAATTTTACGAAGCATTTAAGATATAAAAAGAACAAGTCCATGCCTTCTGTATAAACAATTATTAAAAAAGATTGCTGCTTATATATACTTTAAACAATTCCACATCTTTCGAGGCAACCTTAGGCTTGCACCGGCTTTTCGCGTTTCATACGTATAAGATTAAACTTAAATTTAAAATCTGTGGTCCCTCACCGGATTTACTCCAAAGTCCACTTCGCAAGTCAGAATAAGTTCACGCTGTACTACTGGAGACCGAGTTCATTCCAACAAAATGATCTGGATGAAACGTACAAACAACGTACAAAAAGATATCGAAACATTCACAAGACGCGTACACATATCATCCATAACAAATCTAAAAAATTGTATCGTTTTTCTGTCAATCGTTCGTTGTCAACGATTGGCAAAAACAATGAGAAACGAAAACACTATCGATGGTGTATACATGCATTATCAATTATGTGATCAACCAGCTAAGCAATCAACTACATGATAGGGCTCATTGCAAAACGTTCAATTACGAAAATAAAAAGTGTCTACTTGAGATCTCGTCGTCTTAGCTTTACAATATACGCAATATGAATCGTCGTTTGGTAAAAAAAAAAAAAAAAGAAAAAAAAATAGAGTTTGGAATAAAAGATTAGAAAGGAAGAAATAAGGAAGGAGGAAAAGACACGTCTCAGTGAAATACATAACAACCATTGCGTGAGAAAACTTACGAGTATGGTAGATGCTTTCCTCAGAGAGGCCTGCGATAGAATAGAAACACACGATCAGTACGAAATCATTCGAATATGCCATATAAGGATAAAATTGCACTGGGGAGAAAAAAAAGAGACATGCCATCGAAATGCGTTTCGAGCAGCAGGCTCTACTTGCGTTCTCATCGAATACAGGGTAATCGGCTGCATTTTTCTTAACAGATATTGCATTTATACCCTGCAAGAAAATCGCGCAATTTATCGTGTAGGTAAATCTCTAATCGTTTAGAAGAAGGAAGATAGTGGCAGGAACACCCTGTATACAAAAAGTCGCGAGAGTACATCCGTTTCATCGAAGCCTACTTATCGCTCTTTTTCGGGACTTCAGGAGCAAAATTCTTAGTAGACGCGATATCTATATCTTCGGAAGTCAAAGATAGACAGAGACCGACGTGATCAATCGGAGGCGAAGCGGGCAAACTTCTCTTTGGACTTCTGTAATTGGCACGCGGGCTCTGACGATCGCTTACCTCTTGGAGCGATTGACCGGATGACGTTTCGCTGTCTATGCAGCTGCGTAAATATTCGTTACTCCTGGACTTGTGATGCAAAAAGGAATTCATCTCGATACCATGATCTAGACGATATGCGGATAGTGTATCCGGTTCGAAAGCGATCGGCGATCTTTTGTGTCGGGAAATCGTTTCGACGTGATACGGTCCTAACGAACTCTTCGACCTCGTGCTATCATTCGAATGCTCCGAATCAAAGTTACATAATTCCGATTCGAGGCTCTCAAAGTCTATCCCCTCGCGCGAATTCGCCGCGAGGAACCTGGGTACCGAGATCTGGCCGATATTGCTCGATATCTGATCGCCTGAATCGCGACGATTCAACTGTGATATAGATATGACATTTTCCATGACGCTGTATTCTACTTTAACCGTGGCAGTTTTGTCGTCGAGCGCGTCCCGGCTACCCCACGTTCGCATTTTGTTCAACACCCTGAGCGGGCTCTTGGAAATGCGCGACTTATGCTGAGACTGCTGGACCGTTTTACTGCTCGTTATGGAATTCTCGGGACTCGACTCTAAACCGTCCTGATCGTTAATTTTGATAGTTACCGAGTTCTTTCTCTCACCGCTGAGCGGCGAATTTAGGGAACTTTTACGCGATCCAGACGGCGACCGGAAGAAATCGGCCAGAGACTGTAATCGCGATTCCGAACTGTCACGGCGTTTCGATTCTTTCGACTTGCTTCGATCGCGCTTTTTATTCTTGACTCGCTTTGCGGTACCCACCAGAGTGGATGCTACGTTTTGCACGAAATTCGTGGAGTGCGAATGCTCCCACTCTGGCGGTGGCCTTTGGTGGCATTTAGGTGACGTGGTTTTTGATGTGGTAACCGGGCAACTGATGGCTGGTCGGTGTGCTATCGCGGTTTTTACGGAGTAATCATCGTTGATTATCGATGGTTCCTCTGAAAAATGGGTCTTATGATTGTTCGGCGGGGGATTTTTATTATGCAGAACCACGGACTCGTATATGTCGTTGTCCAGAATGACAAAATCTTCGTCTATGTTGGGTGTGTAGCGCATACCTTGCACGATGTTGTCAAACGAATTTTGCGGCGTTATGTCGTTATAACTACTACTACTACTACAACCCGGCTGATTGTCTATCAGATTATTGGCCGAGGAGTACAATTTTCTGGTGGTTGGGTTACCTATTTCCTGCAGAAGCGGGGAGCGATGCGCGTTCGCCAACAGGGCTGTACGCAGCGGTGTCTTTTCGAGATCTGGCGCGGAACGGGACCAGCGTTTTCCGCCAGGGGAGGCGGGATTCGGCGGCTGGGTGATAATAGCTCCGCGTTCACGTTGATGTAGCGTCGACGGTCCCCAAGTCTTACCCTTAACTCCATCCGCCGGTACTAAACGGAGAAAGAAAAAGAAACAGAATGCTACTCACTACGATACCAACTACTTTTCTTTTCTCTCTTACTTATTCGGCGCGTAGGGTAGATAGGTAAATCTTCTTTACGGATATACTCTTCGGTAAGCGATTGTATATGTTAAAACGATATAATTGTGCGCACTAATTTCAGCAATTAATGTATATGTGTGTGTATGTGTATATATATATACACACTCGTACAATAATAAGACATTCTAGTTCAAGATAACTGTGATCTTTACAAAATAAAATAAAATGGAAAAACATATATATATATATATATATATATATATATATATATATATATATATATATAAAACAATAATTGTGCACACCATGCTGAAAAGAGTATCGATACGTATAAAAATACAAAGTTATCTACCATAATACAAACAGTGTAACACTCAAATTATTCAAGTAAAATTTCTAATGCGTTTAATTTACTCGTAAAGTCACTCAAAATTGCACAATACATTGTCAAAATCACGGTACTACTGAAAGCGATATTTCATAATGAAAAAAACTACTCACATGCGATCGCTCTGAGTCTCGGAATGCTGGGCGAGCCTGGTGGACTGTTAGGTCTCGATGGGTTCCTCACTTTTCCTCGATCTAAGGCTGTGTGCTGAACGGTGATCGTGTGACGAAAATCTAAATATATTCCTCTGATCATTAATCCAAATATATGATATACTATTTCTAATACACACACACACACACACACACACACACACACACACACACACACACACACACACATATATATATATATATATATATATATATCTTTCTTTAATTAAAAAATAAAATTATTTTGTATAAAAATAACACAATAAAGTTTATGAGATGTTTATGATACAGCACAACATTAATTATAACATTGAATTAAAAAAAAGATAGAAAGAATAAATAATCTTCATACCCGATGGTGCACTAATGTTGCTCCCAGGTTCTTTCTTATTTAATCTTAATCGCGACTTCTTAAATTTGCCGCGTCTCTTGTTTGGTGTAGGCGTTGTGCTTTGCGTGTGTTGTATGATCATTACAGTAAGTTCTCGTTCCAAGAGATCTATCTCACGCGCGGCCAATTCTTGTTCCCGCATCCTCAAGTTTTCCTCATGCTGTCTCTGTTGCACTTGTGCCTTTGTGAGTTCCTCTTCTCTACAGCGCAGCTCCTTGTAAATAATATTTAAAAAACATGTTAAGAAATTTGCTAAATTCAATTATAATTGTGCTCAGAATTTTTATTTATATTTAGAATAATCGATTCAAGCGATCAAAAATAAAAGAATAGATATTATAATACATATAATATTTTTTGTAATACTAACACTTTAATCGATTATTTTGTTTTGTCTTACCTCTTCTAAAGAACGGCATGCCTTTGTAAAGCATTTAAAAATGATTGCAAGTATTATTTATTTTATTATACATGTTTGTATACATATAACAATTAAAAATATTTTATATGAATTGTTTATGAAAATTGCTTATGAGAAGATACAATAATATGATCTATTATGATTTATTTAAATGATTTTAATTATCCTTAATGTAATAGCTATATAATATAAATATATACCTTTTCCTTCATGCGCAATCCATGTAGAACTTCCTCGATTTCTAGCCTCCAATCTTCTTGCATCGTGTGAAAAGATTCGTGTGGTGTTGCCGCAAATGCATTGCACACTTCATCCAAAGCTATTAAAATATTCGCGAATCCAGGACGAGCATGACTGTCCGATGCCCAACATTCTGTATAATAATTATTTTTAATACCACATTTGTTCAATTCGACATTAATGTTAATTATATTGTCATGTTGTTAATATATTACCTTCCATGAGGACCCTCCAGGGTTGAGGACAAGTAGATGGTATAGGTAAAGTCAATTTATTGACGGCGACACCATATGCTACAGCTAGAGCATCGATGCCTTTGTATGGTGTTTCTCCTGTCAAAAGTTCCCACAGCAGCACGCCATAGCTATCAACATATATTATTATTAATGCTTTAACAAAAATTAGGATAAATAAATAAATGAGAAAAAATAAGTGTTTATATGTGTTTAAATAATAAATTTAATAATAGATAATAATATATAATATATAATAGATATAAATAAATAAATCTCATATTATTGTATATAAAGATACTGACCTCCATACATCACTAGCTTTACTAAAAGTACTCTTCTTAATAACTTCTGGTGCCATCCAAGCATATGTGCCAGCCGCGGACATACGAGTCGTTTTATAAACTTCCCTCGCCAATCCAAAGTCTGTGATCTTCAAAGTTTTGTATTGGAAATCATCGTTTTCAATTGGCTCACTCAATAACACTGTATCGATCAAAAAATATTGATATATTGATCAAAATCAATTTAGAAAAAAAAGTGACATAGCTTGTGTATTATACATACATTATCAATTAATATTAAAATACTTTACCGTTTGAACTTTTTAGATCTCTGTGAATAAGACTTATGGGAGCCTTGTTGTGAAGATAATCCATGCCTCTAGCAATCTGTATCGCCCAATCGACTAATACATTGGGTCTTATTTTTCTGCCACTAAGAACTCTATTAAGACTGCCACCACGAGCATATTCCATCACAAGACACATATTAGGCATCTTTAAGCACACTCCTTCCAATTGCACAATATTTTCATGTTTTAACAACCAAAATAACTTTGCTTCCTGCCGTACATTTTCTAATGTTACACTGGGCTCTTCACCTGCATCTTGACGCGCAGCTTTCACAGCTACCTCGCGTTTCTTCCAAAAACCCCTAAAAATACATAGACAATTTCATTAAAGAAATATACCGATAAAAAATTATATAAAAATTATATTTATATTTTATATTTATTTATACTTTAGAAACAAGATTAGAACCTTTTCCATGAAATATTTCTCAACTATAATAATAATGGATTTTTATGGATTAATATACATATATGTACCTATATACTTTTCCAAATCCTCCAACTCCTATAACTTCTTCCAGTTGCAACTCCTCAAAATCAATTTCAATAGGTTGAACTTTATCAATCACCGATGAAACTTGATCGATACTTTCCGACTCTGCAACAAAATTGGCTGGAAAAATTCCAACTTTTCCACGAATTTTTCCAGTCCACCATCCCTCATCACCTGAGATTTTTGCATCTTTAGACAAAACCTACAATAAAAAATAATTGTATCACTTGAATCCTAACGTAAGATTCTGGAATAACATCTGTAAGTAAAAATAACCTCGACAGTTTCCCCCCTCTGCAAGGATAACTCGTCTTCACCCTGAGCAACATAATCAAAAAGGGCTGTGAAGATAATGGTACTGTTGTCCTGTCGCGACTGAGAAGAGGAATGTGTACCGTGAGAGGGACTAGTCTGTTGAGAGACAGTTCTTGCAGTTCCACCACTATGTGTATCAGAAACACTGCTATCCGACATATTGTTATTGGATGTACGTCCATATATGTATCCGTAACTGCAAGAAAATTTATCGTAAAGGCATATAATCACTGGAGGAGATATACACAGACTTTGTCGCACTTGAGAGAGAATTCCTGTTTACCTAGTGGTATGATTATTGGTTCTGCTATTGTGCTGATATCGCGGCGACGAATTAGCCGTATTGGGACTATGAGGATGTGAGGAGCCATTCTCTGGATAGAGTAGGAAACGCTCGCTCCGATGACGAGCGTCCGGTTGTCCGTGGTCCATCAAGGTAGACAAGCCTCTCGCCGATAGCCCGGCTGGCGGCATATGGCTCGACACTCTCCTTGCTCCTCTCTTCTGTAGCGTAAATCACACCCTCTTTCCCTCTCTCTAATCGCACGTGAGGATACCCGTACTATCCTCATTCACAGGGATACAAAATATGTGGTTACTTATTGTTTTTCTTTCTATTTCCCGTTTATTCTACTTGTCTTATCACCACTAGCAAGTAAACGAGGGTACGATTTACAACAACCGCGAAACGTTATCGTTCTGTCGCGAGACGCATCTCCGGCAACAATCCGCGGTTCCGGATGCTGCGGAACACACTGTGTCGCTCGCGTTCACATCGAGTTCACAACACCCCGAATCCACCCATCTACCGCGGATAATGCAACGGCGAGCGCGAAATCGTGTCGTTATCGTCTCCACCGCGTCACTTTCCATCGGAAAAAACGACAATATTACACGATATTATATTAGAAAAGATCCGCTTAGAAGCACCCCGCGCACAAAAACAATCCCGTCACCGAGACCGGCATTTTCAGGCGCGTGTCCGCGAACAGCGATGCACGGGGGGGCGACGCAGGGGGGCCCCCGTACGTCTCATCAGGGGAGTACGGGTACCTCGCGTTCGGGTCAACTCGACGACGAGACGCAGAGACTCGAGGTACGCGATGCGCGAAACGTGCAGCGAAATCGCTCTCACAGACAGATCTCGCGTTGGGGTGTGTATACCCACAAGCCCACTCTGTGTTGACGGGCTGCTGTGTTCCTCGGTCGTTCCAGATCGCTTCTGTCGAGCGAACAGCTGATTCAGGTGGGATTCAAGCTGACGCGCTCCGAGGCCCCGTGGACGCGACGCTTCGCGTCAGCCCACAACTCGCGTATGTCCGATGCCACATTTAACGCTGGAAAACGGAGCAGCGCTCATAGCAATAACCTCACGGACGCCATGTTTCGTACGACGGTCCTAGCCATTGACAGACGGCCCGCTCATGACAATCGCAATGTTGCTGAATTCGGCGCCGCGTCCGGCAGCGCCATCTGTCGTTCCGAGCGGGAACTACAGACGTCCGTATTTCGGCGGCAATTTCAAATGCACTTCGGAGATCTCGTTCAAGTTGCGTAGGTATATAAGAGACGTCAGGTATAAGTTCCGATACGATTGCGAAATATAATTACATGTAAGTGACATGTATTAATGTAAATTCCTATATCAGTATATCTTACTCGTTCATTTTAAACAACATATTTTATTCAAGATTTTTTTTTCATTTTTAGGTTTCTCGCTTTGATTGAATTTCAGATATTTACAGACATCCTTCGTATTTCTTAATTATATAGTTGAGTTTTCACTAACTTCAGGATCAGGTTCACTTCTGCATATTATAGAGATACGTCTACTTTTTGGTACATGTCGTCCTTCAAAATACGATTCCTCAGACTTGAGGATTTCGTGATTGTACTTGTATCTCGCAACGCCGCTAAAATATACAAATATATTTATGAATATTTAATAATAACTTGATATAAAGAAACTATAATAATAAAGAATAAAGAAACTATAATAAATTGAGAGAGAGGGAGAACCTCATGATATATAATGATCTCCTTGGTAGTAAGAAACATTCAACACATTCTTTTTCGCGTCCTTCCATCATCAACTTCATCACACTGTCAGTCAGCAAACTTAATCCTGCAATAATGCCCCCACAGAACTGTAAAACATTTCAACAAAGATACATGTAAAGGCATCTCAAAAATACATGTAAAGGAAAATACTTTAAAAGAATAACGATAAGTTTTTATTACCCTGACACTGTCGATGTGTGGTTTTATCCAACCTTCAGAGGCTAAATCTAATATATGTACAAGGGTGAGCTGCGTCATTTCAGGTGGAAATGCTTTCTTGCGAACTCTGTCAAGAATTTGTGAACTATCCTTGTTCCACTTTCTCCATTCTGTCTCTCTATAACCATGTATTGCCTATAAAAAGTTCTGATGGATCAAAATATAAGACATTCAAGAAATTAAAATTAAATATCTCTATAAATATATACTTTGTTTATCAATCTCATTTTACTAACATTATCCCAATGCGAATATTCATAGCGCAATCGTTTCATGTAGGGATCAACCTCTTGCATTAAGATATTTTCCTCTTCCTCGCTAATAAAATTTGGAAGGACTTTCATGGAGTTATGTAATTTTATTTTCCAATCCTTTGCACTTTCATTCAATCCTCCTTTTATATCTGAATTAGAAGTGGCAATATGTTTCGAGCTAGTGTGACAAAGTGCTCTATTTATATTGTAAAATAATAAACGCAATGCCATTTCCTAAACTGATCAAATTTTAATTGAATATATTATACAATATTTTAATTGAATATAAACAAGATAAAATAAATATTATCTTGGAGATTTTTAGACTTTTCCTCCTTTACACGTAGTCAAAGTCAAATTTATAAAACACTATCTACATCACAAAATTGTGTCTTCTTTAACTGCACACACTACAAATCAAGTAAAAATTAAAAAAAGAACTTGACTTTCCTTATAATTGCATGTATCAATTACTAATTATCTTTAAACCCTTTAAACAGCATATATGTAGGTTATGTGTTCAAACAATTCGATAATTTTGAGAAAACTGTAAAAATTATTGTTTCAACTTTCAATTTTAAAAAAATTAAGAATGTCAGTGCAGAAAAAATAAAAATTTTAAATATGACATATATTTTTATGTGAAATAGTCGTTTATTTTCACGACATATATTGTAAAAAGCGCATCACAAGAAACAAATGGCTCTTAGTTTGCAACACTCGAGATTATTTTTTATTATGTATGTACAAATTTTTTTTACTATGAAATTTTACTATATCATACGTACAGTATATTATAAATATGACTCATTCTCTTACGAATAACATTAACTATTACGATATAATTATAAAAAAGAGAGAGAGAAAGAGAGAGATAGAAAAGTAATTTATAATCAACCTTTATTTAGGAATATACTCTTTTCAAAACCAACTTGTAATTGATCTTCAATAAAAGTATGTGTGTATGGGTATGTATGTATAAGCTGTATTATATATAAAACTTCCATATGTCTAATTACAGGATTCAATTTGCAATGACATAGCTATAAAGACAAGATTTCTTTTTTAACAGTTTACAGGATACAATTACAACCCAAAGATATGAATGTGATTCCACCCTTTCCATTCTACTTAATGTTAATAAATTCACAATTAAGGAAATAGAGTCGCGCAAATATTACATACAATATTTTCAATATTGAAAATATATAGTTATTGATATATTAATATACATCAATATAAATTAAATTGAAAATTTAATAAATGAATGACACATGAATAAAAATCCAATAAAACACAACATGTAAATGATAAAAATTTAACTCTTTCAAATAACTGAGTACTGATAACTGTGAGTACTATATCATTACTATAGTTATTCAAGTGTTTGTTTTTAAGTAATTTTATCGATAATATAATATTTTCATTTCTATTTCTTCATTTTGTTAGGTGTAAACAGCATGATTATAGTTTAAACTGTTGTACATTTTGGTTACAATTCAATATGCAGAAAATACAAATATAAAGTTTCTGTATAAATCTGCAAATTAATATTTCTCTGCATTTATTTAGGCGACTAGAATGTATGAATATGTGAAAAGTCGCTACATAAAATCGTCATATTCATCATATACATAATCACCGTATTCGCTTAACAAAGTGTTGTCGCCCTCGATTTTGAGCTTAGCCTTTCCTTTTCCTTTATTCTTTTTGGCCTTTTCGCCCTTTTCCATCTTTTGCTTTTCAATAAGTAAGTTGTCAACTATAGTTTTTACCTTCTTCAAGTAATTTGAGGATACTGAAACAAACATTATTATAAATATAAAATACTGATATTACTGGTTACTATGGTTACTATGATAAAAATAATATCATTCCATGTTTTTTAATATATTAATCATTAACAGATATACTAACAATTAAGAGCAATAGATTTTATAAGCTCTTCTGCAAATGATGGAAATTCTGCATGTTTGTTAAATTGATTAATTTTTTGCGAAAGTGCTGTGCCAAATTGTTCAAATTCCTCTTTTGTGTCGGGTACCATGGCATCGAACGACTCATTTGCTACTCCTACTGTCACACCTATAATATAAAATTATTAAATGATATTATATATACATACATACATACATATATATGTACATACATACATACATATATATATATATAAACTTTATTTCTTTTCAATAAGAAAAAGATTTTAGAAAAAGAGGAAAGATTGATATATATATATATATTAATATGATAATATAAAATAAAATAATAATATTATAAGAAAATAAGATTTCTCATGATTTTCATATTTCATTGTATTTTAACAAATTAAGTCAAATATAACTATATGAAAAGTTTTTCATTAATATATTTTAATATGGAGAAATACTTCCTATATATTACTACATATATACATTATATTATAATGTTGTATTTCTAAAATGATTCAGTAATGTATTCAGACTTTAGCATCCTGTGTGTATATTGCACATATGCATCAAAAGAGTCAATCAGGAACGGTACAGGAGACAGATAACAGATGAGAGATAAGGTCACAAAAAAACTAATGCAACAATACAAAAACACAATTTGCATAGAATAGCAATTTTTATTAAAATACAACAACATCAGTAATAAATTTAAATGCATAGAGCTTGTAATAAATTTAAATGTTTGTATTCTCTTTCTCTCTCTGTTCCTTGTATCTGACAGTTCCTATCATGAACCAATTATAAATTTAGCTAGATAATGCTAATATAATTTGTACAAAGCTACACTATGTCACAAAATTGTTAAATAATGTTAATAAAAATATTTCAAAATACACACACATATTTCATATATGTATATGTATATATAGTCCTATATTTAACCTTTTTTAATGAAAAATTTGTAATACTCTATAATTTGGTGCATATGATAAATAGTTCGCATTATTGCCAAAACGCAAATAGTTAGTGTAATATTAATATTTGTTAATTTTTCAATTATCACACTTGTAGAAAATAATAGCTATTATCATTGCAAAATAAGGATACTTATATATTATCTCATGCATATTTAGAAAAAATGCAGTTGTTTAATATAATTATAAACAATACTATAATGATAATATACATTAAGGTGACAAAGATATAATCAAGAAATTTATATTTTCTTGAATCAAATTAAATATTTGATGTCTATAATATCATGTACTGTCTGGATTTTAAGAAATTGAAAGAATTCTTTTAGACATTAAATAAAAAATATATATTATAAAGATATATATTAATGCAAGATAAAGCGATACCAAGATCTTTTAATCATGAGAAAAATCATTTCTTATCTCTTTTATGTGGTTTACGATCACTAAAATCTACTAAATTCGACAAACCAAAAGTTTCCATCGCCAGCCGTAAATCTGCCTCCTCTTGCAACTTTTGGCGTCTTAATAGTTCAACTCGCCTTTCTTCCGGTGTAAGTGCTTCCTCCTTTTCTTTTGCTTTCCTTTCAGCTTCTTCTCTTGCTTTTTTCTGAAGTATAACAATTTTTTTACAAATATATAAACAAAATTCCAAGCATTACATGTTCCTATAATTAAAAAAAAATTAAAACAAACCTCACGTTCCTCAATTCTTTCAGCTAAAGCTTTTTTAGATTTTGACTTTGTTTTTGGTGCTTCTGCTGGTTTCTCTACATCTTTCTTTTCTTCTTCTACATCTTCCCAGCTGTCCTGTTGAATTATTCAAGTTAAGCAAATAAAAAAAATAATTGCAATGTTTTGTATTGTTCTGTCACCAAAAATAAAAGAAATGATTGTAGCAGTTCCTATTGTACATGTAAAATAATACAATAAAAGCAATTTTTATAGAATATTGCAAATTGCATATTTTATAACAATTGCTAATTGTAATTTGCAATATTCTATAAAAAATTATCATGAAACGCTGAGGTTTTTAAAATACTTAAGTTATAAAGTAATATATAAATATTTTAATATATTAGAAATTAAATGTATTAGAATTTTAACATAATGTTCTTTGCACAATAATAAGCATAAAATATCGAATTACATATTTTTATGAATTATTAAATATATATCTTACTTATATTTTTTGGCAAATATATACATTTGCAATTAAATTGTACATATGAGAAATATATTACATAAAGAGATAAAGTATATAATTTGATTAATTGCAAATGTAAATGAATAAATAAAATATATTTAATGTATTAATAATCATTTTCTCATTTTAATCGTATGTATTTATACTGTTAAATTATAATGTAAACATTTATATTGTTAAGTATATAAAATATATAGATATATATATATATATATATATATATATATAATTTTTTTTCTTTTTTTAAATCAGGGTATTTGCAAAACATCACATGTTATTGCCCATGAAAAAAATGACAAGGAAACATGACAAATAGTCGCAAGGAATCTAGAAGATAGATTACAATGATCAGCGTGACAAGATGGTACAGCACGGAACATGTGTTCGTCGCGAAAAGGTTAAGTGCGAAATCACACGCGTTCACAATTTCACAAGAAGGACGAGCGTCGCGCGCGACGTACGCAAAAGAAAATCGTTTTACCTTGACATCTTCCTCTTCGTCCTCGCCCTCCCATTTGTTCGATCTCATCGCGAGGTCGAATTTCGCCTCGACATTGTCCACATCTGCAAAGGCGCACAAGAGGCGAGGAAGTTAAAATCAGTTTCTGTCACGGATAAATCGCACGCTCGCGAAAAATTACGCGCGGCCAAATTGTCTCGCTCGCGCGTCAACCTTACGTACCCCATTCCTCATCCATGATTGTCGTCGATTATTTGTCACGTGTCGTTCCTATGGATAAATGGAAAACCTGCCACACGAACGTCGAAACACGAGACACAACCGGAATCGAGCGGGCCATCACGAAGGAAGCGTGCCAGCGTTGTCTCATCGCTCCTCGCACCATCGACCGGATGCGCATGCGCGACGACCGATCGAGAAAACGGGACACACGCGCGTTTCTCCGCTCCTTTTTTCAATTATCTCGCAAGGAGTGGCGAACAAACAATATATGTTAAAAACTGGATTTCTTATTTCCATATCTTGTTTCTTGCGCTACTCTTTGCTCTAGTACTCTTTAAAAAAATGTCTCTCTCCCTCTCTATAAAATACAAAGATAATAAAATTATTGAATAAAAAGCGTGATGTATCTATATTTATTATAAAAGTAGTGGCTAATTTAATATTTATAGACGACTTTTACATGTATTTATTTCGATTATATTAATAAAATTTATTTTGTATACGTGAATAATGCGTTTAAAAATTTTGCGTGTCGACACTTTCAACTAATCAAATCGAATGCATGATTTTTAGATCGATTAATCGAACATCTAATGTGATTCATTTTGCATCAAAGTGCCCAAGTTGATATGATTGAATAATTACATACATGTAATAAAAATATAGAATAATTACCATTTATTCGAAAACGATGAGCCATTGACATATAATTATGGTTCGACGATCTTGATTTGAGAGAAGCCTAGGGCGGTCTGTCTTATGCCTCATGCCTCCAATTTAAAACTCGATCAAAGCGCCTCTATATATAAAGCGTAGACGTTGAACTACATTCCAGCATTTTCCATAAAACTCAATAGATAATAATACTCAATAGATAACACGCTCTATTCAGAAATTGTGGTTCTATTCCGTGCTAGTGCAAAAGTGTCGGTAATACAAATGCTATGATACAAATGCAAGATATGTATTACAAATATTAAATAAATTTCCAATATAAATAAGTTTTGTGATCTTTCTCTTTCTCTCTTTCTCGTTCTTTCCAATTTATAAACTTTATATATTTTCATGAAACACGTATATGTTCTCATATAATAAGTTGTACATATACTACAATATAAAGCAATATATATCATTTTCAGAAGACATCATGAGAAGACCACACATACATACATATATTTCATACGCAACACATAATGCTTTTAAAAATAAATATAACATTAAATACATAAAAACTAAAATTTTTATATTTTTTTAATTTATCTTATTTAACGTAACTTAGAATTAATGAGATTTTTGCGAAAAAATCATATTAAGTTTGATATTTTCGAATATTTTACAATCAGATACAATTTTCTTATTTATTTATTAATAAGTAAAAATTATCCGAATTATATCGTGTTTGATGTCATTTTAAACGCGAAAATTTTGTTAATTTTTGTTTATTTTAATTACTTTTAAAAGATCAAGTAAAATATAAAATTTTAGTTTTTATTTTATAAATTAAAATCGCAATTATTTAAAGTCGCAAATTATTGTAGATAACGAAAAGTTCTCAACGTCATTGAAAGTGAGAGTGAGTAAAGAGCAAGTGAGACATATCATCAAGAGTTCCGAAATTTTTTAAAAAACACAAAACTTTCATTAATTTATTAAAATTAATTTCAAACCGTTAAAATAAAAGATAAAAGTTTCATTTTTTATTTTTTAATGGCTTTTTTATTTTTTAATGGCTGGCTTTCTCTGCAGTCTCATGGCAGATTATATCAGAAATCATACTTTAATTATTGCAGTACATCATGAAACAAATCAATCTCAAAATAATGGAAATATTTGCAGAAATATCAACAATTTGCAGATGAAAAATGATAGCATTTAATTAAAGTTAAATCAGAAAATAGGAATTATCCAGTAGTTGGTCCAGTACTTGTTTCACCAGCGCAAATCAGAAAACCAGAAGTACCGTCCAATGAGCCTTTCGATTTTATACAATATATAATGAATAAAAGAATGGTGTTGAAAAAGAAGAAATTACTGCCATTCTTTACTAAACTTCCGTCTTACAAAAGAAAATGGAATGTTGGATTTGAACGAACGAGAAACTCCGACGAAACGAAAATACAATTGTTAGCGAAATATGGAAAACTGCATTTTCTGACAGAAAAATATCCAGAGGCACAAATATTTTATAAACGAAAACCACGCGAAGATGAAACAATAGAATAAAGAAGCCGTATAATCATTGTACTTTTATGTATAAACGTTTCACAAAATAAAATCTTTATAAATGAAGTGTTACATTAGAAATATTAGTATTAAAGTAAAATTAAATATCCATGTGAGATTTAAAATTTTTTGTCCTTTTTCTTTGGAATTTTTTGTACTTTTTTTTTCTAAAGATTCTTTAAGCGAGAATTGCTTCTTTCGCAAAACTATTGAACAATTTGAATATTTGATGTTTTTTTAGTAGTTTAAATTTCGTGAAAAAATTCGAGAGAAAATTAGATTTTATCGTATTACTGCACATATCGATTAAATGCTATATCAAATATGTAGTGTAAATATTTTAATTTTTTTGTATACGATTTATTTTTTATTCTATCGATGTTTTCATAGTGATGCACCTTGAGCACTTTGCTTCATATGTTTGCAATAAAAATATATTAAAGCAAATTATTTTGCAAATTTATTATTCTAATTTTTATTTAGAAAGACTAAGATTAAAAAAGACGTATGAATTTTTTCAGATATTTCTATTGAAAAAAACGCATCAGATAAAACTGACTTTCCATTACATTTTAAATGTGCCAAAAGATTTGCTCTTTATTCCACTTACTGCAATAATGTACACTAAAAATGACAGATCTATATTAAAAATGATAGATCTATATTTAGTAGTTGGAAAGAAAGAGAGGAGAAATGAAAAGTGCATCTAGAGAATTTAAAAGAATAAAAAACAAATCTAAAAATAATAATACATAAAGATTAATATTATGTATTTTTTTCAGGAATGTGGGGCGCACATTTATGCATTTATTAATTTAGATGAGATTTACTTTAGAGCACATTCAGTATTTAACTTTAATTTTATTTTCTCTTTCTTATGATATATAAGTATAACATAAGTATAACATTACCTGCAAATGCTATCATTTTTGTGTGCTTACAGTGATACAGAAACAACATTACGAGTATTATATTTACAGATAACATCTGTATAATAAAAAAAGCATTAAAAGTCTAATGGTGAAAAAAGGGTAAATATTGTAGACCAGCATAAGTATCAACCAATTATTCCATCGCTCTGTTTCATTAGAGTTGCAATTTTCTTTTATAATATCATAAATATTATAAATAAGATAAAGATTTCAGTACGTTTCAAATAAATTTATATATTTATGTATGTAATACTGCGCACACATATTAAAAGGTGATAATATCGCAGTTATAATAAGATATAATCCTGGCAATGTAGTGATTTTTGGATCCTGAAAATAATTTAATTTGATTTATTTTTGAGAAATGCGCACAATACTTGAGAGCAAATTATTTTTGTGCCACGTATTACCTGTGTAAAATTCCACACACAGTATCATATTGTCTGCGGTATATGAAAAGTTTCATCGATGAAATAATGTGGTTGAATACAATTGAAATATAAGAAAAATAATATAGTACTTGTAATGAATAACGTTAATGTGGAATACATAAATATTTTATATTTTAATTTCATGTAATCGAGATGAGATAAGACACTCATGATTACTTTAAAAATGTATCCACAAATATCATGTAACTTCAATAGCTGCACATTCGTCAAATTAATCCTACTACGTTAAATGAATCACAGCAGCTTGTTTTAATTTAATCTAACCTAACCATATATATATATATATATATATATATATATATGTATATACATAAATATATATGTATATGTATATACATAAATGTTTCGTGTCACGATAAATCTTGTAAAATCATTGATCTTTAATAGTATCTCGTCAGTGAAAAAAAATGCTTTCGAATGTTACACTTTATGCAGCAAATTTTTTATATTGTTCTATTACAATTTTCATAACAGCAAAATATTTAATGCTTGATGCTTTATATGTATATATAATACAATGTGCTAAATTATAAAGTGTAACATAATTAAAAAGTATGTATAAAAAGTATAAAAAGTATAATACTACTATTATTAGTCGACTTAATTGCAAGCTATTCCTAATTATTACACATGTTTATCCGATGCATCTTCTTCTTCAATCTTTGCAATGTTGTGATCTGTCGCATTCCCAAAACTATAGGGACTCATGCTTCTTTCTTCTTATCGTTTTATCATTCTTTTACTCTCTTCCATCTTATTCAAAATATATAATAATTATTAATTAAGTATTATAATATATTATAATATAATATAATTATTATATTAATAATTAATATGTATAATATATATTAATATATAATATATATTAATAATGTATAATATAAATTAATATATAATATATATTAATATATATATATATATATATATATATATATATTAATATATATAATTAATTAATAATTACTAATATAATAATTATAATTACGGTATCTCTCTTAGTCTGACTCTTTCTCTTTGACCTATCCGGCATGGGTGACCCTACCAGTAATTAAGGCCGGTGTTTACACAGTCTTTAAAATCGTTTTAAGTAAAATTTAGAAAATGTTTGTTATTTCATTGAGACTGAACAGAATTTTAAGATGCGATCTAAGATTATATTTAAGATGATTAAATATAAAAACAAATTGAATAAATACCGGCCTACGTTACCGCCGGCATAGCTCTCCGGATCATTAGAGTACTCAAACCTCCTCACCCGGCAAATGCCTTCGTTAAGGTGGAGATACCATCGAAGAGGTACAATTTTTTTATTTTATTTTCTTTTAATATAATGTAGGTTTTTCAAATTTTCCAAATAGAAAATATAATACAAAGGATGTATAAAATATACATATATTATATATATATTATATAATTATAAAATATTATAATGCATAATTACATAGTTTGCAGTCATATAAAAATATATTACAAAATATATATTATAATTATAGTACAATTTATAAATTGGTATCAACATCAAATAAATATGTATTCGAATTTATTCAAATATTTTCAATAATACGGATAATGATGTTGAGA